TATTTGGATTATGGTTGGTTACTATATTCCATTTTAAGATTGTTACATGTGTTTTGCTACTTTACTTGTATTTTCAGAATTGAAGAGCTTATTTCCAAGATATTTAGATCCAAGATTAGGATTTTTCGATTTTTATATTCATAAACAAATTCATTTCCGATAAATCCCTGTTTTCGGAAGCTATCTTTGAAGTATCCACGCATCCAGATTAAGAGACTCCTGTCAGGACGACTATGTTTCATCTACTGTTGCAATGTTACCGTGTTTCTTAATTCCACACGTTAATATTAATATAAAAACGCATTTAAGGATATAAAGACTTAATGAAAAGTAAGTTACTGAATCGTGAGTCTAAGCTTAGAATCTACAAAGCAGTAATTAGACCAGTGGTCACATATGGATGTGAAACGTGGACCATTTAAACCACTAATGAAAATCAATTGAGAATATTTGAACGCAAAATATTAAAAAAGGTATTTGGACTAACCCATTGTAGCGATGGTTCATGGAGAATAAAAATGAACTATGAGCTAGATAAATTAATGCAGAGCGCAGATATCGGACAGAAAAGTCCGAAAGAAAGAAGGAAATAGGACAAGACAAAGGTCCCGTAAAAGGTGGATAGATGATGTAGAGGAAGATGTTAAAACCATGAACATCAGGCAGTGGCGAAGGAGAATTAGGAGGAGCCATTAGAAGAGGAAGAGTGTGAAGACTGACTACATGGATGTATTTTATATCTTACTATTTCTTTTCCTTTATGGGCCATTTATAGTAGTTCCTCTAGAGTAGTATATCATTCCAAACATCGATTAGAAGAAATGAACAGTTTAAACTTTTACTAAGTTTGGATAGCTAAACTTTAAACTCATCTTGCGCCCAAAATACACGTACGCAATTCTTGCTTTTTCTCTTTCTAGGAATGCAAAGTGGGACACAAAAGTTCTCGAGGTTCGGTCAATTTTTAGGTTAGTAACAAGTGTTTTTTTCGATTACCTCGAAAAATTGAGAGGTTTTATTTGACACATACCGTGACCTTACACTTTGCAAATAAGCTCTTCGATTGGAACTGATTCCAGCCTTATGATACTAACATCGAAATCACCTGAGCATTGTAACGTACTAGTAGATTACCATATTAATGCATGTGCGTTTCTCAAGTTGCCTCATTTGCGTTTATTGTTTAAAATTGAGTGACTGGACTTTCTGTCGTCATTCAAAACCATTTTTAGTCGTTCAGTTTCCGTTAGAGACCTTAATCAATATCATTGACTTACTATATACAGTACATACGTAAACTATAAAGTTAACTATACCTTTTACCATCAATTACGGTGGTTCTAGCATCGTATGAAATAACTCAGGAATATATTTTTATATAACATGTAAAAAGGCAAGATCGAATCGTTGTTAGAGACAGAGGAAAAATGGTTTTATACAACTAATAAAAAAATTGTAGGTGTTACGTTTCAATTGTTAAAGATATAGTTAACCATAAGTTTTACACTTTAAATATTCCGAATCTCAGCAGTACGAAGACCCTTTTAATATACACTTTATTAAACGAAACAGAATATTCCCAAAGCTGAGACTCGGATCACTTCATTTTTTGGATTCACTTTGGAAAAATAACCTATTTTACAACTATTCTTTAAGCACTTCCATAAAGGTCACGTAAAACTATGTAAATAAGAATACATAAAAGAATATATATAATATAAAGAAAAACAACACAAATATACAGAATAATTGACGATTATACTTTAAGAATAAATTATCAACATTTTTATACATTTAGCCAATAACAATAATATATTAACTTACGTTTAAATAAAAAAAAACTGCCAAAATAGTTCTTTCGGTATTATACGGGCTGCCTAAAATTGTACTTTTAACCTTCAAAAACTTTAAATGTACGTTTGTCTATCAGATACCATATTTAAAATAAAATAAATTGAATAAATAGCCTCAAAATAGTAGGAAAAACAAAGTTTACCTGGAAAATCGTTCTTTGTTTTTTTTTTGCTTCCCAGATACGCCTTTTGGGTCCGCAAATTTTGCGAATGCCTTATATTAATTGAAAAGTAAAATGTTTTTCTCGTCAAATTCTTTCCAAAAGTTTTTCTGCTCTAACTATATATCTATAGTTGATGTATAAATTTCAATCCTGATCAAATTTTATAATCAAAAGCTTTTATAATGGGAATAAAAATAAAATCAAAAGCTTTTTTAATGGGAATAAAAATATGAAAAAGACCGCAATATTATTTTTATACATAAAAGGGTTATATAAGATCCCCAATCCAAGTGTAAAACAGGAAAACATAATTTGTTATACAATAAATATGATCTATTACTCTTTATAATTATTTCTTAATGGTTGACAGCACGCTCAAAAATAGAGATAAAAAATATACTCCTGTTTTTTATGTGATGTTATGTAAACACATAAGGATTGATATTTATCCACCTAACTAAAGTCAAATATTAAAATTACTCTTTTTTTAAACGTCACTTACGACAAATAACGCTAGTACGATAATATCGGTATCGTAAATTACTCTGTATTATATATATAAAAAAAGAAAATAAATATTATAAAATGTACATCCAAACAATGTTAAATAGTACCAGTACGCCTTAAAGTGTATCTATGGCAAAGAAAAATAAGTATGTTTGGTCTTATTCACCTATTTTAAAGAACTTCACCTGAAAATTCTTACCGAACTGCTGCAACTTGCATTTTTCGCATAGAAATCATATCGTATTAAAAGACTATCACAGAAAATGAAAAATATAAACATATTTGTACTTATTACTTTATACACATCAGAAACACTGCTGAATAATTGCTTGTATACAATGATAAATGATTGATAGGTGCAAATAAGATGTGAATACAACATTTACATTCCGAAAAAATCCTTTTGGTACAAACTGATTGGAAACCGAAATTCTAATATCTATAGAATATAACAACAGAAAAATCGATTTAATATGCAGCTAAACATTAATACAAGAACACAAATCTTGATATCTTGTTTTCCACCATTTTATATGGGGTAGAAACCTGGACAACATCTTCTAGATGTGGTCGTACGAGTGTTTTTGATGATGAGTGTCCAGGGAAGCCAAAGTCATCACGCCGGAAATGATTAACAAAGTCCATGACATAATTATGACAAATCGTCTAATTAAGCTCCGCGAGTTAATGGATGTCCTAAACATTTCCTATGAACGCGTACACAACATAATTCACCATCATTTGGACATGAAAAAGCTATCCGCGCGATGGGCGCCGCGTTTGCTGACAATCGATCAAATGCAAAAACGTGTGACCACTTCGCAGATGCTTTTAGCAATGGATACGGCGCGATCAGTAACGCCGATATATTTTTCGCCGATTTATCACCGTTGATGAAACCTGGGTACATTATTACACACCGGAAACCAAAGAACAGTCGAAACAGTGGCGCAAACGCGGCGAAGGACCGCCCAAGGAAGGCAAAGAGTGCACATTCGGCCGGCAAAGTGATGGCGACTGTTTTCTGGGATGTGAAGCGCATCATCCACATCGACTACTTGGAAAAAGGAAAAACAATCAATGGTGAGTACTACGCAGCATTATTGGATCGATTCGATGCCGAATTGCGTCAAAACTCCCCGGTTTGTAATGCAAAAAATTGCTCTTTCAGCAAGACAATGAACCGGCTCACCGATCGGCCGTCGCCATGGCAAAATTACACGAATTGGGGCTATGAATTGGTTGAACACCCACCTTAATCCCCAGATCTTGCAGGCAGTGATTTTTTCCTGTTTCCAAACCTAAAAAAAAAATAGATCGGAGGACGCCGTTTCGCAACAAATGATGAAGTCGTCGCTGAAACTTCGGCCTATTTTGAAGAGCTCGAGCAAAAGTACTATTCGGATGGGATAAAAAAAAATTGGAACATCGTCTTACTAAGTGTATCAAGCTAAAAGGGGACTAATTTGAGAAATAAATCGATTTAATTCCAAAAAACTTGTTTTTTTTTATCAAAATCTAGTTTTATATCAATCCAAATACGTACCTGGACCAAATCGATTGTGAACATCCAGAGGATAGGTCCAAAAGAAGAATATAATGACCCATAATCGGAACTACAAGGCATTTCCAATTATATGAATAATGGATTTGGTGACAGGTATAGATAATCGAGGACAAGTCAAGTCTACAGTCTCGTGATGACAGAGAAAAAAGGAAACATGTCTACGAATAGTTAATGATGTGATATTTAGAGTTAATTTAAAGATATTGGTCAAAAGTCTAAAAAGCACGTGGGCAACACCAATTTTTAGTTTTTCGTAGGTTGTAAGTAATTCATACGATTATTCATGTTGTGTATTAAACAATTCATAAATATTCGTAAAAACTTATTTAATGATCGATGATTAATTTAATTAAGTTTCATGCCAGGCTATAGTTTTAGTGAATTACGGACGACTATAGGGGTAAAGATAGCGGCTAGATGTGTCTGATAAAAATTTGAATTTCCAAGATGTAATGATACTCACATCTTGGAACAATCGATTCCAAAGTATGTCAAATATAGTGTCATAAATGACTGATGTGTATAGAGGTATCATTTCATATTCATTTGTATACAAGCAATCCATATGCCTTAATTGTATTTCTTTAAGCATAGCTGAATAAAACTCGAAACAAAACAATATAAAGAAGGAACAAGGTGACCATTGCTTTTGCAGTTGAAGATCCAGTTGGCAAAGCGTACGCATTAAAGATAGTTTCTTTTAAAATTTTAATAAAAACGATTTTCAATATTGTATTAAATGCATGTCTATACTAATAAAAATAAAGAAAAACTGCCATACTTGTAACTATGAACCATATCAAATACTATTAGCATAGTAAGTGGTGAATGAAGGTACTTGGGAACTGCACAAGGAACATTTTTAAATCTTTGAAATCCAAAAGTTCTAATTCTTTTTGTTTTATTTTTCTATATATGTTGTTAAATGTAAAACTATTTAATTACTGTCTCGCATTTTTATTAATTCTGTGTACAACAAATTTAATGTATGTTTTTGGGAAGAAACCATTTTTTTAACTATTTTATTGTGGCATTTTTACATTATCTAGTCTTTTTAGAATTAACTAAAAGTTCAATTTCAAATATGTTTACTTAAAATATATTTTAAAGAGAACGAGTCCTGAACTATTCAAATAAACATATTTCCAATCGAATTTATGGTTAATTGTCATTAAAAATAGTAGATAACGGAAAACTTGTGCAATTCATAGATTTAACTAACAAATAGCTGAAAGTCATCAGTTACTAGCTTTGTAAAGTATCAAATATGCTAATTTTTTTTGTAAGTTGAGTTTTTCTTTAAGTAAAATTAGATGCATGTGCATTTTGCATTGAAAATCATTCATACTTTCTTTACAGCACCGTATTATTTCTAAACATGTATTTAATTTCTTGATTTCTATTAAAAGAGGCGGATGCGCCGCTTCATTTCGTTCCTTTTCCATTGTGGTAACCGGTAAAAATCTGATCTTGCCATTTGTAATAACGCCTCAAATTCTTGATCTGACAGATGTCTCTGAAATATAAATGAACAATTTTAATTGGTATATTTGGTAAGGTTGTTTCGCTTGTTGTGTGCACATGTGTGATAGTATTCACGAATTATTTAAATTTAAAATTAATTTTGGTGTCTTAGAAGTTTAAGTTTTTTTTCAAAAAGAATTATTATAACGACTAACCATTACATTAGTGTTCGATCTCGTGGTATAGGTCGAGGATAAGTACTCTAATTAATATTCTAACCTCTAATTAATATGACAATATACGGAGCTTTATGTTATTCCGGACTTAAGTAATTCCGGCTTAATCTCTTTTCTCAGATGCAATGCCTTTCATTGTTGAGTTTGTTGCTGAAATTCGTGCTTGGTGATGCTGGTGAGGAAGACTCGTCGGCAAACAACAGCGACCATGGATGTGGTTCTTGAAGGTACGCAGTGAGCGTGTCCATAGGAGAGACAAATAGGAGCAGGGATAGAGCAAATCATTGATGGACACTAACATTGATAGGGAAAGGCAGACATATTCCGGGATCTTCTGATGTTGGTGTAAAGAAGTTTCAACCAGAACCCGTAGGCTTCAGAAACGTTGTGTGATCTGAGGGCATGCCACATAAGTTCATGCGTTTGAAGGTCTTTTCCAGATCAAAATAAGCTAGATGCAATCTTTTTGTGTTAAGTTTTCTCTTGGTATATAATGTAAAGTTCAAAGTATCGACTTCTCTACACTCCATTGTCATTCACCACTCCATAGATTCGCCTTAGCCCTTTTCTTTCGAAACATCCAAATATGCTTTCATTACTTTTTTTTAGAGTTTTGTTTTGTTTTTACCAGGTCTTAACCATATGTTAGGACTGTGCGTATTATTGTTTTGTGTACTTCTCGATATAATTGAGGATTGAGCTCAATAGCTCAATATAGCATATGTTCAAATGTTCAAGAGTGCAAATTCTGCAGTTTATCTCTGCGCTAGTGTTATTTTCACACACGCTAATGTTATTTATACACTTTGTGGTTGCGTGTTTATTTTTATGTCCTTCGTTTTTGTTTGTGTTTATTATTAAGACCATTTTTGTAGTAGGTATTTTAGTGCTACATACGCCTCTCCTACAGCGTTTTCCGTTCTCTCAACAATATTTGCACTGATTTGTTATATAACCATAATTGTTAGAATAAACAAAAAGTTTCTTTTGATGAGATATTTGAAATTAAAAATCACACTTAATTTTCTTTTCTTTTTCACCCCTGTAACTTACTAAAATTAATATTATAGAAGTTTTCAGGGACTTCCGGCCCTCGTTAATAATGTAATCTTTCATTCTGCGTTTAAATTTTTCAAAAATACTTTATAGTAAATAGAAAACTAATTAGTTTTCTCAGGATTCGAAAAAAATGAATGTATTTAAAAAGCATTGGCCCAAAATTTTGCGCCTACGCTCTAAATGGGCACAGTTAACAATTGATGAATTTCTATTACTCTATTTTAAATTTTACTTTTAAAACTATGTTAAAAACAACTCATACATTACTTATACATTTCTAATGCAACCCTTTTTTTTTAATACATTTAATTTTGTTGCTAATTGAACAGTTTTTAGCGAATCTGACAAAATGTGATATTTTGATTGGTTAAGAATGTAATAAATCTCTTTACGCAATTTCTACAAAGTATGACTTTGTGACCATAAACAATATCGTTCCTATAATTTTGCTTTTCCGCGTTTATAGACACGGAGACGATATGTTTCACGCTAAATAAAGCATATATCTTACCTCTAAGTTTAATCTATCAACGTCGGAAGGCAATCTGAAGTTAGTAACTACAAGTAAATGGAAAGGATAAATTTTTGCTGGTTCATTTATCAGTATTGAATGAGCCATATTTGGTAAAGAGCGTCGCACCTGTTGAGAAGCATAACCACCAGTAGGATATCGGCCTAAACCACCAGTGTACGTTGTCGATAATGGCATTTCGCAATTCTAAAACAGTAAGAACATTAAATTAGATGTTTGATGTAGCAAATTACTCAGAAAGTAAAAGTTAAATCTTGAAATTTAAATCAAATACTATATGGATGGTGTTCTGCAATAATAGTCTAAGCCACATATATATGGTTCAGAGTAAATGAGCATATTGTGTCTACCTACTTTAAGAAATTCACTGATAGAAAATAAGGCTTTATTTTCACATTTTTAGACTTCAATAATTATAGACTACCTAGAAAAACCTACAAAAGCAAAATAACTAAAACCAGTTTATTGCAAAAATAACTTAAAGCGGCTTAGACGGTTTTTGCAAAATTGTAAAAATATAAATGTTCATTTTGCAATAACCGTCTATCCGTCCGAAATGGTGAATACACAAAAAAAACTTCTAATTCAAGTTCATTAGTAATAGTACGTAACTGTTACTGATTAAATTCCTACTCGATTTAATCTTGATCATTCTCGAAATCAGGATTTAACCTAATTGCTTCCAAATCATACCTCTAATATTCCTATCATTCCTACAATATTTTGCTGACCAGAATTTTGACTATCAAGCAACAGTTCCAATATTTGATATAATGAACAACTGGTTTCGTTATTTGATAATGCAATTTTTTGTCGGCATTTATGGCTCGAACATTCGAGTAATCGCAAAACATATTATATTACGTTTTCGGTCTACTAGGTATATGGCGGGCGATAAAAGGAATTTAAAAATTTCTTTAATCAATAATTGCCGAGCTGACAACAAAGAAAATTCACAGTTTCAAATAATATACTTTCGTCTTTTACCATTAAAGATAAAGCCTCTAGTTTGGTATAATTGTATTTAAATAAAATTGTAATATTAGTGTAATAATAAATTTCTCGTCTTTTAATAAGTCAAAATAAAGATTTGTTCAATTTAATATTTTGCATCTGGTGCACACAATGAAAAGACCCTTACAACGATTTGCAACAAGCGTCTAACCTACATATATTTATATTGAAAACATGGGTTAGACTATTTTTACAAATTTCTATTTTCATATTATCTGACGAATGTGGTTTAGAACTTAGTTCACAAACGCCTCCATGGGTATGGATATGGCTTATATCATTTTTGCTTGATGTAGTATGCATTATTATCGACAGTTTGACAAATCTAACCTCATTTGTAAACAAATGTGGGTTAGATGGTTGTTGCAAAACACCGTCCATATATATAACAAAAATTGTTAGCTAAATAAAACAACAAAATCTTCTCAATTATGTATATAAGAAAGTGGACCAATTAATTGGAATTGATATTTACCATACGAAAAACCTAACCTACAGATTATTGAAATATGTTTCCAAATTATTTTGCGTAATAGGGTGGCAAAATTTATAACCTTAGGACTGCATATTAAGCCTTCTTAAAATCCAACAAAAAGATATATATGAAGTTTGTCCCAAAAGTATCTGACCTTCGTTCATACCTTCGTACAAAAATGTTCACGCGCTCTGTGGGGTACGGGCGTAGTCAGTTGTAATCTTCATGAACTTGCTGTATATCCACTAACAAAAGTGTCTTTTTTGCATTCGTAGCATTTTGTTATCGCCAAAAATGACGGGAAGGTCCAAGCAATACATTTGCATTAAGTACTGCTGTAAAATCGAAAAAACTTTTGGCCGTTCTAGTCGACCTTGCCAAAATCGTGCCAAAATCATTTCAAAATTTCCCATGGCAGAGCAGAAAATGATTTACTAAGAAGTGCTCCTATGGCACACTTGATAATAGCCACATACGACAAAATATGCTTAAAACGATTCAACCGAGTTTCCGTATTTTTTCAAAATGTAAACAATAAACAAAGTAAAATTTTTTGGACATGTGGCGATATGTGAAAATGCCGTTGATGACATCTAGAAGGCTTTTACAAAAACTTAATTTAAGAACTGCTTTAAAATCTTAAACAGTCAATAGGACGGAGCGTGTTGTCGATTGGGAATAACTTCAAAGCATGTCACGAGCTGGATGACGCAGAATAACCCGAAAGAAATATCTCGTTCCATATCGGGATTAAAATAATGGGAATGTCAAAAACAGGTTTAGCTTGGTGAAAGAATGTTTCACATAGTTTTAATAATATGGAATGAGAAAATAATACCGTTATTAATTCGACAAGTGGCGATCAAATGGTATATTGATGGCTCAAAAGAATATTTATTTAAAAATAAGTCATTTGTTCTTACAAATTTGTTTTTTTAAATAAATTATTTAACCCAGTAACTTACCATAGCACGTCGTTCGACATCGGTTATGGACCCCGTTGAAACTGAAATATGAAAATAATTGATAAATACCTATATATTTTTTACGTTGTAACCGATAATTTAAAAACACTAGCTCTGTTTATACAACAGTTCAAAAGGCTAACAAGTTTTAAAAAGTGATAAACTTATTCATTAACATATTCGCATCCTTACAGATCAAGATCAATGGTTTGATATATCAAATATATAGAAATTACAATAACAATATACTAAAGTGGGTCTTGAGCTTACTTCGTCAAACCTCACAACAGTAGAAGGAGAGACAGAACATATAAACTACAATAAAATAAAAAACACACACCTTGTTAATAATGGTGAAAGAAGCGTGAATGGAACACGATATTTAGAAGAAAAGAAATAATGTCACGAAGAACAAAGAGGGCAATTAGAAAATTAGTCGAATAGGTAGTGTCGAGTATAAAAACAAAAATACAAGTATTCAAAAAATTAATGCTAAGTATCATTTGACTTATAAGTGCAGAAAATTGAATATTAAACAAAAGAAGCAGCAGCAAAATAGCGACAATAGAAAAGAAATGACGAAGGACAGAAAACCTCTCTAAAAATATAGATATTAACATATATAAAGGAAAACTAAATAAAAGGAATACAACATCATTTTTACTATAATAAAATTTATAAACGGTATGTAGGTAATTTGCATCATCTTTGAAAATGCGCCAAGATGATGCAAATACTAAAAGAAGCAGGAATTAACAACCAAGATATGAAAATAATTAGAAATCTTTGCTGGAATCAGACAGCAAATCTCAGAGTTGAAGGTGAACACACTGACTGTGAAAATCTTGCGTGGAGCTGAAAAACTGAAAAAGGTATTCTACTAAATGGTTACCGGCTCAATAACATCAGATATGCAGATGACACCATAGTATTTGCGGACAACTTAGAAGACCTAAAAGTTCTTATGAAGAAAATCACGTATTACAGTCAACAATATGGACTTTAAGAAGACAAAGCTTATGATAATTAGCAAGAAAAGGATAACAGAAGGTCAACTCTACGTCAGCCAATCTCCTGTAGAAAGAGTGACGCACTACAACTACCTCGGCACCATAATAAAAGAAGAATGGACCAACAACCAGGAGATTAGAGCAAGCATCGGAAAAGCTAGGTCCACCTTCAATCGGATGGGGGCCTTCTTCAAGAGTCACAACCTCTCTCTTAATACAAAAGTAAGAATGCTGCGATGCTACGTCTTCTCTGTCCTTTTTTATGGTGATGAATCGTGGACCTTGATATGTGCAAAAAACTGGAAGCATTTGAGATGTGGCTATATCGGAGAGGCTGACCGAGTCACAAATGAGGAGGTCCTCAGAAGAATGAATAAGAACCGAGAGCTACTGAACACTATTAAATCTCAAACGTAACAATTCTTCGGACATATGCGAAATGAATCCAGATATGCTCTCCTTCAGCCATCCTACAAGAAAAATATTTGGAAAGCGAGGACCAGGAAGAATAAGAACATCTTGGTTAAAGAACCTCAGAATCTGGTTCAATACAACAACTGTGCAGCTTTTCCGCGCTGCTGCAGATAAGATAAGGATTGCCATGATGATCGCCAACATTCGTAACGAATAGGCACATCAAGAAGAAGATGTAGGTAATTCCTAGAAGATTAAGAACATGTATATCAAATAAAACAAAAATATCTTGTAGAAATATTACGATTACTTTAAATACAATATATGCCAAAGCGCTACATAATACTTACTATCAGATTTTCCGCAACTGAAGTCAGTACTATAAGTTTTAGTACCCATTCCACTAAATGAATAATCACCCTGTGAATAGGAAAATTGTTTAAAGCGTGCATTCTGGCTAAACAAGCTTACTATTTTGTATAGTCTTTTAAACATGTACTTTAAACTTAGTTTTTGCTACCAAAACTTAAAAAAAACTTTTCAGTTGTGGATCATTGTATTCAGACTGGATCGAAGATTTGTTCTCAAAAATACCAAATATTTGGAATGTGGATTATTTTTGTGGATATCTTAATATTATGGAATGTAGAGGCTAACAACAGGTCGAAAGGAATCATGTTGATGTCACACCATAGTTCCTGGACCATGCTTATGAGAAGTAAGAGTTGCTACATAAGCTAATCCATCATCAAACAAAACTAGACGATCCAGCCTCTGAGTCAGCTAAACTTGTCTGAAAATTAAAAGTCTGAAGACCAAACTAATATCAATTTTAGTCTTTGCATAAGAAAATATATCAATATTATTGGAATATTTGGAATATGAAGTAGGATTGTATTGATAATATCTTAAAAATAAAGTCTTTCTACAATATAGAACCCAACAAATGCAATACGTATACAACCACTACAAAAGTATTCAAAATGAAACACGCTAATTCAAAAATTAAAGGAAATAACTGGAAAACATTCCTTAAACAGATGAAAAACGACTTCTATGGAATCCAGAAAGTAATATGGATAATCATAGGACACTGAAAAGAGATGAACTAAATGATAAATACCTGGAGAAAACGGCACAAGGCTAATAGCTCTTAAAGAACGAGTATACTTAAAGTATGAAATAACTAAGCAACTTCTGAAACATTCTGAAAATGAACAACAAAAGTATAAGGCAGTCGTTAAAGGGAAAAACTATTGTAGATGTGTTCGAGATGATATTTGATGACGACATTATACGTGATATAGTAAAACAATTTGTCACATATGCTGGACAGAATAACAGACATGACTTTACGTTCTCGGTGGATTGTCTAAGAAAGTTTCTGAGATTTTTAATGCTTACCGGCTATCATTCGTTACCTCAAAAGCAAATTTATTGGTGTTAAGATGAGGATTTATGTATAGAAAGTGTAAGAAAATATTTATAAAAAAAACAGGTATTTAGAAATAAAAAGAAATTTACATTTCAATCATAATGCTTGTCTAAATAAAAAGTCACGTAAACCAGATTTTAAAATTAGTCCGTTGATTTCTAAAATGAATCAACAATATTTGAAATTTGACATACTTTTTTAAAATATAAGTATTGATGAACAGATGGTCCGATACTATGGGCATCATTATTTTAGACAATTTATTCGGGGAAAGCCAATTCGGTTTGGCTTACTTAAAACAGTGGGCAATGTGTTGCGCCAAAAGTGGGTATTGTTTTCATACCAAATTATACCCTGGAAAAAGGAATGATGAGCATAAAGTCCAAGGTTTAGGAACATCTGTGATGCTGAATAATATATCTGCTATCGAAAACCCAAACAACAACTTCTATTTTGAAAAATTGTTTCATCAAGTTTTAACTTGATGAAGATTTTAACGGATAAAACAGGTACAGTGAGATCTAACAGAATGAACAATTGTCCGCTGAAGTAAGAAACCGATCGAGGTGGCATAAGTTATAGATTCGACACTAAAAATGAAGTGTTCGGTTGAACGGCTGAAGAAAGTAAAGGTGAACTAGAAAACGTTAATGAATGGACAAAAAAAAAACAGTGGAGCAGGACGAGCATATTGACAGAATTAATGAGGAAATAGTAATAAAAACAGAGAGAACGCCTTACCGTTACATTAAAACAAAATAGGAAAAAAAAAATTATACACTTTATACACGGTCATCCAAGGAAGCCTGCGAATTGGTACCAAGGATCCAATGACGGTTTAACTTTTTTACATTTACGTGAAAATAGCGTCAAAAGAGCGACGAGAAAATATCAACGGGTCATTTTAACAAATTTAGTCGAGCCTCTAAACCACACTATATTTCAAACTAGACCTGCGCATAAGGCCAAAAATACTCAACAGTGACTTGAAAACAATGTACCTGAATTAGTAATGACCATTGGCCGCCAGCCAACCCAGACCTTAATCCACTCGACTACAAATTGTGGTCATTTTTAGAGGCATGGTCTGTCCAAGAGGTCACCATAACGTGGAGTCATTGAAGCAGGCGCTGGTAGAAGCTGTGGACAATTTTCTTAAAGATGTCATCCATACAGCAGTCAATGAATAGCCTAACATACTTCGATGCTGTATTCAGGCAAATGGTGGCCATTTTGAATAGTTTTTTGTAGTTTGTAGTTGATTATATCAGTAATGAAGTGTGTAAAACATTTTTAAGTCAAACCAGTCCTACCTTATGGTATGACTAGGTATATATAGATCAGGTTTCATCATCATCATTCAATCTTCGCTTATCCACTGCTGGACATAGATCTCCCTCATAATTTTCCATCTATTTCGATCTTGTGTCTCTTGCATCCAATTCCTATGATAACGTTTTAGATCTTCAGTCCAACATGTTGGTGGACGACCTCTGCTTCGGTAGGCATCATCTCTTGATCTCCATTCCAGTATCCGCTTTGTCCATCTATTATCTGTCATTCGAGCCACGTGACCTGCCCAGTTCCATTTCAGTGTTGCTACTCTCTCTACGGCATCAACCACTTCTGTTCTTTGTCGTAGCTGGCGATTTGGGATCTTGTATCGTAGTGAAACGCCCAACATAGCACGCTTCATCGCCCTTTGACACACACGGATCTTTTGAACTGTTCTCCTTGTCATGGTCAACGTTTCCGCACCGTAAGTCAACACTGACAAAATAAACTGACTAAAGGTTTTTCTTAAGTCATACTGGTATATCAGACGATTTAAAAATATGGTTTAGCTTGCCGAAGGCTGCCCAAGTCAGTCTTATACGACGGAGAAGCTCAACGGTTTGGTTATCTTTTCCTACGCAGATCTCATGACCTAGGTATTTATAGGTCATTACCTGGTCTATGGATCTTGTTCCTACGCATATATCTTCGCTGACTACAAGATTTGTCATCATCTGGGTTTTAGATATATTTATTTTCAATCCCCCTTCTAGCGAGGAAAGGTAGAGCTGATTTAAAAGTTCTTTGGCCTCATCTATCCTATCAGCTATTAGTACAATATCATCTGCAAACCTTAGATGGCTAAGCTTTTCTCCGTTTATGTTTCCCTTGTCGGTCAGTTTTGCCCTTTTACATATATATTCCAAAAGCGTAGTGAACAGTTTTGGCGATATGGTCTCCCCGTGGCGTACTCCACGTTGTATCGAGAATTTCTGGGTTTGACGATCACCCACTCTAACACTGACTGTTGCGTTTTGGTATATGTGTTTAATTATATTTATATACCGATAGTCAATTCGGCCTTCTGTCAAGGCTTCCAACATTTTTTGTTGATTTACGGTGTCGAATGCCTTTTCATAGTCAACAAATATTAAAACTAGTGGTTTATTATAGTCAGTGCTATATTCAGTGCAGATCAGGTTTAAGATATATAAAATATCTAGTTAATGTAGTCTAGAAAGCGGGAAAATCCTTGCAAATTTCTGTAATATCTGATATATCTAACACTGCTACAAAATTCCACCCTGCTAAAAAAATACTACCCATGCTACTCATATTTACAATCTGTATGGATTGATGTACGTCGTTTTGAGAAATACATAAAAAGTCTAACCAAAGCAAAAGGAGAACTACAATTACAATCCATCAGTGTGTACAGAACTACGTCAACGGTTGCCCTACAAGCCATATCTGGATTCATATTTCAAGAGTGGGAAAAATACTTCAAATATATCGTCTACAATGCCAAAAGGCTACATTTGAGACGTGAAAACTTGGTACAACTGGTGACGCCGGTAATTTACCTGAAGCTTTGCATAGTTCTAGGTACATCGTTTAAAAAACAGTGTAGGTAGGTGTCATTTTATTAATGTTCTCATACATAGGTACTGAGAGCAAAAGTGGTATCCAGTCCAGTGGTATCACGAACATCCTATTCTATCCATGAGAATTTCCACTTCAAAATTTGTACAAATAAATTTACTACACCCTTATTGATCATGTTTACTTATAAAGTTGATTTAAAGCCATGTTTAAAAGTCTACTTAAATCTGAAGAAAAACTATTTCTATTGATAAAAATAGCATCGATTTTTACACTATATAGACACTTAATACATGTTGCGACAAAATAAAAATCCAATTTGTGATGCTATAGTATGAATAGAAATCTTATCTATATAGTAATAGTCTGTGGTTAGTACTTACAAATTCATTTCTACTGGATAGAGTGGACGATTTGAGCCCGTAACCAGGTTTAGGTACCGTTCGTAACGCTGATACTACTGTATAAAAAGCAAAAATAATATAGTAGCAGATGAGAGTTACAGAGGTGCATGCAACTACTGATATTTGGACAAGTGATCAATATGATGTGCAAATAAAAGTGTATTTATGAACTAAGAGGTATTAATGGGTGTTACCTTTGGTTTATATCTTCTACTTCGCATATTAGCGTACAATCGCACAATTTCATTTATATTACCCATTAAAATTTTGAAAGTTTCTTTATAATGCCTTCAAAGCTTTAACATTACTTCTTCCTATTTAAAATATACAATTATAAATCCGCACATCAAATTCCGAATCTTAAATAGCCTCTTGAACAAATCAAATATTTTAGACTCTAAAAGAAACAAAGAAATGTAAATGAATACTGAGTTAAAAAATATAACTATTCTACAGGAAAGATAACGAGATAAACATAAAACAATTTGTCTGATATATTTTTTCCTTTTTTAGGAAAAATTAAAAAAATTACAAAGAATAGACATATTTAAAAAACGGGGGAAATAAAAGGCAACGTAGAGAAAAATACTTGGAAAACAACTTTAATAATATGAAAATACTGGACAGAATGTGAAATGTGTTCTAAAAATGGAAAAGAAGGCAATAACAACATGTGGCGCGTTTATACGATTATAGGAAGAACATTTTCGTCTAGGAAGAAAAAAAAAGAATATTTACAAGTTCAGAAAAATAGGACGTGATCTTATTAAAGCTGTAGCAAGAACAGTATACAAAATAAAATAACAGTAATGTGACAAACTTCTAGTATGAAATGGTATATACACTCTGGGCCAAAATTAACCGGCCACCTTAAAAATGGGTAATTGTTGATGTTTCATATCTCCTAAACCTGTTGTCCGATTTAAGTGATTTTTTTAACATGTTATAGCCTTATTTCTTGACAATATAGTTATAATAATATGGTTCCTAAACAGGTAAATTTTCATGGTATACCGGGCGTACGAATTAAACTGTTTTTTTTTTCTTAAAGTTTGTATCACCCTGTGGAATATTCTAGCATTTATAAAATAATGAAATTAGAACCTAACTATAGCCTCATGTTTTCTCAACATTTTGTTTTTTCATTCAGTCGCTTATGTTGGATAACACAAAAGTTACGTAGTTTAACAACTAGCCATGTTTTACATCAATACAAAAGATTTAACTCACCAGCAAAATTAACTCCACCACATTTATTATTGTTTTGTTTACATTACCTGTGACCGTTTGTTTCCTAAATTTGTGTCATCGTAGGATTTTTGACATATAGTCGTTGTACGACATTGTTGCAAATCTGTTTCCATTTTAATAACAATTCTTGAACAATTTGTAATTAAAATTAACAATTAAAATTGTAGTTTTATATCATTGTGAGCGAATATTGTTTAAGTTGAAATTTTAGTGCTTATTTATTGTTTGTGATTTTAAAAATACAACTCGTTCCAACTGAGGCTGCTAGGGCAGTGGCTTTAGTTGATGCTGGTTACAGTCAACGTCATATCGCTGGTATACTCGATGTACCCAGAACTACGGTACAAGATGCCATTAGATGATTTCGGGAGACAGGATCGTACAATCGCAGGCCAGGTCAAGGCCGAAAACGATGCACTTCAGTTCGAGATGACAACTTAAAATGCTTTTCGTCCAGCTAGCGCAACACAACTACTCATACAACACCGTAGGGCTAGACTTAAATTTTCGTGAAAATATGCTAACTGGACTATGGCGGAATGGAAGAATATACTGTTCTCAGATGAGAGCAGAATAGCCCTAAAAGGTCCAGATGGACGCCAACGTGTCTATAGGCGTCAAAATGAAAGGTTTGCTGTATGCGCTATAATTGGATTTGGGGAGGTATTTCTTGCCCAAGTATACGTGCAAGAAGTTCTCCAAGACCATGTCATGCCTTTTGCACCATTCATTGGTGTAACTTCAGACTAATGCATGACAATTCACGTTGCCATACAGCAAGATCTACAAGTGAGTACCTTAATAAGGTCGGAATTCAAATTCTACCAAGGCCAGCACACAGTCCCGATCTAAACCCAATTGAGCATATCTGGGACAACCTCAAAAGACGGGTAAGAGCAAGAGTACCAGCCCCTGCATCATTTGAAGAGCTGAAGACAGTTGCGGTAGAGGAGTAGCACAGTATCCCCCAATCTAATATCCAGGATATCATGAATGGATTGCTAAACCGGCTCCAAGAAGTTCTAAGGGCTAGAGGCGGCAACATCCATTATTGATACCCAATTTTTTTTTTTCAATTAGACTTTGATTTCCAAAATATTGTTAATTTGAATTTTCTTGGAAGATTTTATTCATTGGATTTTTACTGTAACAAATGATTTTTTTTCAAAAAGATTATTTTTTCTCTTCCGCGGAGATAAACATTGATAAAAAACATGTCTAGTTGTTAAAGCACCTAACTTTTGTATTATCCAACATAAACGAATCAATACAAAACAAAATGTTGAGAAAGCATGAGGTTATAGTTACGATTTAATTTCAATATTCTACAAATGTTAGAATATTCCACAGGGTGAGGCAAACTTTAAGAAAAAAAATACAGTTTGATTCGTACACCCGGTATACAATGAAAGTTTACCTGTTTAGCAACAAAATTATTATAAAGATCAAGGAATAAGGCTATAACATATATCACTAACTATAAAAATCACTTAAATCTGATAACAGGTTAGCAGATATAAGAAATCAAAAATTATCCATTTTCAAGGTGGCCGGTTAATTTTGGCCCAGTGTATTTAAAATAAAAAAAAAATCCAAACGGACTAGAATTTTATCAGAACGTTTCTGATCTTATCACACCATCATCAGTGATCACATAGTTAGCAATTGAAACTAGCCACTTACAAAAGGAATAATAATCTTTTGATTACATATTCAGTGTATTAAAAATTAAAATTAAAGCGACGTCCATGTTACAAGACTTAACTCTAACAATGTAATGGCCACATTAATACCTCCTTGTGTTTTAGATATTATGTGCAAGTTCTGCTATTTACATTTTATGGTAAATTTTCTTTTTACAGCAACACTCATTTATATAAAACCATCATAAGACCGGGCGGGGTACACAACTATCTCCAACTTAATTGTTCTTTAATAACATTTTTAGAATCTATTAAAGTCAATTTTTAATAGGCCAAAAATTATTTGATATTATTATTAAAAACCCGGTTTTATCGGCTAAAAATAAAGTAAGCCTTGTCTATAGCGTCATAAAATTTTACAGTAGGCTGTCGTTTTTTATTTTATGAAGAATAAAGTGCAATGTGTTTCCGGCTTTGCGGCATCGTTCCTTCCAAGAATGTGAGAAAGCCCGATTATCCCTTCTGTGTACATTTATGTGGCCTTGACAGTTCTATGATTTCTCATTTATCAGTGCCATCCTAAATGTTCCCAAATTTTCTGTTTCGGTTTAAGAAATTTTTGGTACAGTGAAATTATGTTCGGCTCGTTTTGTTTTTAGTTTTTAATTTAGTAATTAACTTTTTATTTTTTACTATGGCAAGTTGAAGTATTAAAAAGAAGGCTTTACCTATTAAAGATAAATTGCTGTTATATGTCGGCAATTTGGACTTGTTAATTCGACTGTCGGCTCAATTCTAAAAAACAAGGAGAAAATTTTAAAAGTCTTTAATGAGGAGGGAGAAAATGTTAAAAAGATTAGGAAGTGCATTCGTGGTGGTGTAGATTCAGCTCTACTCAAATGGCTCAAGCAGCGTCGTAGTTCTGATATTCATTCGTCCGGGCCACTTTTAAATGAGAAAGCTACAGAGTTCGGAAAACTGGTGAAGATTTCACATGCCTTAAAGGCTGACTAGATCGGTTTAAAGCCCGGCACTAAATTTGCTTCGCGAAAATTGTTGGAGAGGCAAAATGTGTGGCTACAAAACACATGGGCACAACTAAGGTAAATATAACAGGTACAGAGAAGAGAAAGCTTTTGGTTATTGGGAAAAGTTTACATCCTAGATGTTTCAAAACCATAAAAACACTGCCTGTAAACTACACAGCCAACAAACAATTGATTAATTTTTTTTATATAAAATGTTTTTGAGTATTTTTTGTTGTCTGTTAATTTTTAGTCATTAAACTTTGAACATTATTTAATTCTAAGGCCGTACGAAGTCCGCCGGATCAGCTAGTTGTTTTATAAAATTATTAGATAGTTTTGTAACCCGCCTGTTCTTTAATGTCAGGTAGAAAATCCGGTCTTATGAAGATTTTCTCATTCCCTAGAATACGTATTAAACGAACTTCTGATGGTTTATGATTTTTTATAGAATTAAAATTCGAATAAAATTTACTATTTAATTTATAATTAGTTTCATTGTTAGAAACTAAAACGAAATTAAACTGTTTCTTCTAAAGCAATATACATTAGTAAACATATACGTTGTTTAACATTATAAAACGCAATATCTAAAATAGTATTTTGTTTGTAAATTTCATCAGACATTTGTATTTGTATAGACGTCACATAGGGATAAACTTTAAAATTTTCTTATGAACATAAAATATCAACTAACACAAATAACTCGTGATAAGCTTAGGCTACAAAGATGTGCTTCTAACCTAATATACAAGTTTACATTTTCACCTTTTAATACAATGTGATAAACAAGAAACGAAAATACAGTATAAACAACAGCAGGGTAAGGGACGCTTGAGCCTGCGAAAATTTCTCGGACTGTGGGAAAAAGCCGTATCGTTTGATGTTTGCCGCCATCCCGCCCACTGACGTCAGTGGTTGCCCCGCCTATCGACCAATGGAACGAAACTCCGCTCACCACAATCCCGCCGAGCAACCAATGAGAGCAAAGTCCCGCCTTTGCATTTACTTAAAGTTATTAAAATATAGTTGGGGTACCAAACGATTTTTATTTTTTTTTTCACGTAAGTGATGTGTTGAGAATAGTCTAATCGAACTCATGTGTTGAGAGGAGTACAGATTAGACTAGGCCCGGCTAGGACGGGGTCGACAAATTTTATAAAAAAAGCTCTAAAACCTTTTCGAGATTCAAAAATTTGCCCCCTTAAACCACACACAAATCTCAAATCATTCTTTTTTTCTTTGCGTCAATACACCATTTCAAACAAGGGTCACCCTGTACCATTTCCCCGAAAATAAAAGGAGATCTAGCGATAAGCGAACAGTTCTGCACTCCACATACAGGGTGGCACCTTTGAGTGAAAGAGATCAGCGGCCACCACAACCCCTTCTGGTCATTGTCGATGATCTTCGGGAGAGAAAACGAGATAAGCGACCCATTCTTACCAGCCTCTGGTCATTGTCGATCACTTTTTCGGCAAAGAAGAGATCAAGCGATAAGGCGGCTTCGTTCCATTTGCCGGTGGCCGGGGCACGTGGCTACTTTCTCATTGGTCGGCGGGCGGGACTTTGCTCTTATTGAAAACATGGAAAAAGAAGTGACTTCTTCTCGATTTATGGTTTGGGCAGAAATTAATAAATTATCGAGTGATGTTGGCCCCTTTTTTCGACGGGCCCGTTAATTCAGGAAGGTCCTTGAAGCTTTTACAAGAATTACGTGTAACTTTGCATGACAGATTTGTAGGGCGAAACCTAACTTTTGCGTATTTTGGTCTAGAAGTTCGCGCTTTTCTAGACCAATATTTTCAATGAATGGATCGGTAAAGGTGAAACAAACCGTGACCTCCAAGGTCTCCAGACATTACCCATATGTATTTCTCAATCTGGGGCATACTTTTGAAGGGAGTTTTTGCGCATACGATCTAAACGTCGAAGATCTCAATCTCACTCGCATTATTAATTCTATCGAAAAACGTGATTTGAAGTGTATTAAGATGAATGGTGAACATTTTAAACACTCATTGAAAATACATATTTTTGTGTTATAAGGAAATTACAACCAAAGTTTCGTAAATGTTTATTTTTCAATTTCTTTTTGCAAATTTGCCAGCAGACTTATGAAAACCCCTGTACTATAATAAAACACGTATTGTGGTAAATTGTTTTTTCGAGTATTGTTTTATAAAACAAAATTTAGATTGTGCCATTTGTAGCAAAACTATAGCAGAAAATTAGTTTTAACAAAAAAATATTACATAGACTAAAGTATAAGCAACAATGTCAAATGTCCGTGAAAATGATTTTTTTAAGTAAATATCTTGAAAAAGCCAATCATTGGTAGCAAAAAAGCAGCAGCTTTGTGTCTATCGGATCTTTTCGTAGCGCTGTTGCCGGTATAGAATATGCTCTCTATCTGACTTATTAGAAAGATAAGTAAGTCAAAGAGAAATGTCGGAGAGAAATCTTCAGTATGGAGATTGGAAGATAGGCGAAAATGGAAACTAGGTACCGGAAAACGTGTGTCCCGTGTTAAATAATACATGTTAAGTTCTTCAACTTATGACAGTATATACACTGCGCCTCATTAAAAAAAAGCCACCTAAAATTTTTGATACTTTTTAATTTTTAAGAACTCCTACAAGAAATTGATGTCATTAGATGTTTGTGTAATATTTAAGAATATGTTCTAAAGCAGTATGCAACCATGTTTTAAATAACCAATGTAAATTTTTACTGTTTTCTTTATAAAAATTGCAATAAAGTCAAGATTTTTAATATTCTGTATTAGCACCTCTTACACTCCTCATTCGACTTGGCATTAAATTGATGAAATTCTGGATGTTTTCTTAAGAAAAATGTTCCCATTTTTCAAATCAATCGCTAACCGCAGCTGCTCACAATTTATTGGAGCAGGTATTTTGTTTCTTACCCTTCGTTTGAGTAGGTCCCAAACATGCTCAATCGGGTTCAAATCTGGGCTTTGAACCGGTCAATTCATTTTTGGCACAACGGCTGTTTCCAGGTATTGCGTTACCATCCTGACCACGTGTGGCCGCGCGTTATCTTGCATGAAAATAGCAAACATCCAAACACAGCCAAAAGCATTGCATGCTCATCTAGTATTTCGGAAATGTATCGGTGAGCATTCAACGCTCCTCTATTAATAAACACGAGATCAGTACGCTCTTCGAATGAAATACCTGCCAAAACATTACAGAGCCTCCTCCAAAAGCAACACGTGCTCGTAGAGCACAAGCAGCATATCGTTCCCCAAATCTTCTGTACGTTTTGATGCGACCGTCTGAGCCATAAAGAAACATTCTGGACTCATTACTAAACAAAACATTTTTCCAATCTTCTATCGTCCAATGCTCATGGTCTCCAGCAAACTCAAGTCGGCATTGTCGATGTGCTGCTGTTAACAAAGGTCCTGTTGCTGGGCAGCGTGCCCTTAAACCAAATTTCCTCGATCTTCTCACTGAAGAAGTGCTTAATTTTACTCGTGAGCATTTTGAAAACGGTTTTGGATTGCTCTAGTCGTAAAGAACCGTTTTCTCTGGCCGTCGTGATTGTTCGCGCGCCTGATCATGGTCGTCTTTCGTGAGATCCAGTCTCTACGAATCGTAGGAATACTTTTTGGGTCTTACAACAACTGACTCTGGCCACTTCTCTTTGACTTATTCCAGTATCAATCAAAGTAACAATTTGAACAGAGCTATCAAATCTCTCAGCAATAGTTTTAAATTTAAAAATTGCACAAGTTCACTCTTTGAACAACTGTACACTTGAAAGATTTTTGAAAAACAGAACAGCAATATTCCAAGAGACACCACATACAAACAACACGTGCATTCTCCGAAGTCGTAAAATTTATAATCAATTTTGCGAACTTATTGACCTTTGACTAACTATTGATTTAATTGACCTGTCAGCACCCAGTGGCGGTACCTAAAAGTGTTTCTGCATTGTGGGAGTTTATTTACAAAAGAATAAATTGCATAAACTTAAAATTATTGAAAAATTCTTATAAAATTCTAGGTGGCCTCTTTTTAATCACGTGCAGTGACTAATAAGATTTTAAATCAATTTTAGCAAATGGAAAATGTAAACTTATTTGTTTTACTATATACCAAAATAAGACAGTTTTTGAGAAGTCCGCAACCTTTCATTATCAATAATAATACATTATTTATAACATACCTAAACAATTACGATATAATCTGTCCCATCAACTATTAAAACACGCATAGACTGAACTAACTAATCAACTACCTACCAGTTGACCGATTACTGAAGTACTTATTAACAGGCAACCTTTTATAGCAATATTTATAAAGTTCTTTAACATTTATCGACAACTTATAGTACATAATATACAATTATGCATGCCTGAGAACAAAAGTTGATACGTACCATTGTAATTTGGTATAGCACCTATAGATCGGCCCATAGATGAACGACAGCTCAAAGACCTGTCAAAATCGTCATCTTCGAAGGGTCTCTGATGGTCTAAGTTCCTAGAAGGGCTTGCACCAATTGGGTTATCGTATCTAAATCTATAGTTAGGCTCTTTATTTGCAGATGGAGTTCTAAAAATCAAAAGGAAAATAAATACAAACCATGTAATGTTTACATACTAAAAAAAGTGTGATGTATCGTGGGACACCCGATATAAGTAACGCTTTTTAAGATTTGTGTGTAAAATATATAACTTTCTTTATCTTCAAACACACATTCGAAAAAACTTGTTTGGCATGATAAATTCTTAGCTATTCTACGTCGTTATATTCCCCGAACTCTCTTCTTTCATTTGATATATGGGTATTTGTCTTCTATTTGAAAAGTTTCTATACAAAATTGTCTTAGGTAAATTTTATTAAATGTTGAGAATGTTTGTTAAGAAAATGAAGGCAATAGTAAATTAAATAAATAAATATCTTTACAAAACTCATACATTTTCCTTAATTTTATGTGAAGAATTTAAAATTCTACACATTCTAAATAAAGGCCTTAAGCTATCTTTGTTAGAATCTATGGAAATCAACAAATTAAAAAACACAGATATAATTCTGAATGACCAACTTGAGACAAACAGTTCTCCCCTCCTCAACCTATTTCATTAGAGACTATAAATTTGTAAACCCAAGCCAAAAATAGATCACTTGAGAAAGGCAATCAGCCGAAACAGCTGTAGTGATAAGATTTAAAATAAATTTTGTGGAAGTTTGAAAACAAAGTTTTCAGTGTTTTATTGTTACATAAAATGAATTTCCATCAAGTAACGGTCGAATCCATCAACAATTTTATTATTGTTTCCGTGGTAAAGAAGTTTATCACACACGCATCCACACAACTACGGAACACAGTGTTGGTCTTACGGGCTCATGTCGGCACAATGGTAGGTGTGTGATAATTTGGCGATAGATAGAGAAATCAGGACCGTACGCGCTTCGTTTCAAAAATTTTTATTTATTAATTTAACTGGGTTAATTAAAAGAGTAAACAAAAAAATACAAATTAAGGTGTTTTCTAACAAGTAGTGTTTATATTATTGAATTATTCCTCATAATTTTTATTTCAATTACAGTTAACTGAAAAAAGGGGACTTCTACACAACAGTAAATTGTGAATATTATACAAATATAATTAATATTATTTACCACTTATTTACATCATTATATATAAAGTTAAATTGAACATGTATACCAAGTTTCCCGAGTCTAAGTGATTTGGTTACATAATTATTTAGTTTTTACCTTCTCCTGTAAAATTTACTTTTAAGCAGATGTCACCTTTTTGCAGTTAGCAGTTTATATACTTTTCCGTTCACTAGTGAGGAGCAGTGATTCAGTATCATTAATAGTCCAAGTAATACTTTGATTCTTATCTGAATTACATTTTAAGCTTATTATTAAAACTATTGATAATACTGATAAATAACGAATTGGGATGCTTTATTCTAAAAATCCTATATTATTGTCATGCTTTGTATTTTTAATGCAGAACAATTTGGTATCTATATACGAAAGAATATTTAAGACATTAATTTACCTGGAAGCGTTCCTAGGGTCAAGGTTAGCTGCTTTCCACTGTTTATATTTTTCCCGTTCTTGAACTTCTTTTAAAAATACTTTTCCTATTCCACTCGCTATTTTACTTAATTCATTTTCTTCTTTCTTCAATTTTTGATCATGAATTTCTCTCGCAGTAGCATCATCTACCTCATCTTCGTCAGACGGGACACCTATAAATTAAAATTATGAATATACACTGAAATTATTATTATTAACAAACTGTTTCTACTTATATGTAAATACTATGTTTTATACAGTGATACAAATATCCGTCTTAACTGTAAATATGAGTGATATAGAGTTATCAAAGGATAATTACTTGCCATATGATCCCGTTTAAAATAATTTTACAAAATGACATAAATACTTTGGTTCAGTTAAAAATTGTGTAGTTTAAAAAAATAGTTCTAGACGGCAGAATTTTCCTTAGCAATCTACAATAATGTGTACATAATATTATTTACCTTTGTATGAATCCGACCAGCGTTTCCTGCGCTCGGGATCTGTATATGGATACGGAGGAGCTGGGAAATCGTCACGTTCTATTTTTGGAGGTTCCCCTGGCGGAGGTGGTTTAGCTCCGGGGAAATGGGCCAATTCTATGGGTTCTTCGTTATTCATATGGGGCGATTTGGGTCTGGGTACATCCGTATGCATCGAGTCAACCAGAACTTTCATAGCTGTCCGCGAAGTGCTCCTTCTTCCCGATCCCGAACTACTTCTTAGAGAATTTTGAGCTGAAAATATATTTAATTAACAGCTTTATTTTATTGGAACACCCTGTATATTTTTAAAATGAACTTAACAAGCTGATCTCAATGGAGTATATTATGTAGGATATCATGAATATTATAGGGTGAAATTTTGAAATTATACAGTGTGGACACTACTTATGGAAGAAAATTGTTAGAAAATTAAAAAAAAACTCTGGGAGATGTCAACAATTAAAATGTGCGTTTTTTATTTAATGTATCTATTAAATGTGTATTTACTATACATTGCAAGATAATTCGGATGGAATTCCCCAGATTAAGAGACTGGGTCGATATCAAGCACAAAATGACTGTACTCCCTTAATGCTGTAAAGAATAGTCACCCTTAGTCTTCCGTTATATTAGGTTCAATTTTCAATTCTATCCAAAGTTTAAAGGTACTTTACTAAATTATACACAGTAGGTGTAGCCAGGTACGTATTTCAATTTTGAGTTGTTAACGATTGGTAAATAAAAATTTAATATTGATAATATATCGATAATATCGACTACAATAGAATTAGCGAGTACGATGACATAAACGTTCTGTGGAAAACTGTTAAAGAACAAATGAACAATGTAACGGAAAAACATCTAAAAGTAACACCTAGAAATAACAAACAGGAATGGATGACAGAAGAGATTTTACAATTAATGAACAAACGAAGAGAATCTAAAGAAAAAAATGACAAGGACGGAGAATACAAAAGACTAAATAGAATAATTCGAAAAAAAAAAATAACCGAAGCAAAAGAGAAATGGCTGGAAATAAAATGCGTTGAAATAGAAGAACTGCAACAAAGGCACGGTTTTTTAATTTATATAAAAAGGTAAAAGAGTTTACATCGACTACCAAGAGAACGACTTTTCACACCATGCTGAACACGGATCGCAAACTGCTAGAATCAACAGAAGATAAACTGAAAGAATGGGAAAACTATATTAAAATTCTTTTTCACGACATACGAGAAGAACCAAGATTGGAAAATAACAACGAAGGGCCAACAATTCTGAAATCTGAAATCATAAATGCAATTAATCATCTCAAAACAAATAAAAGCCCAGGTCCAGACGGAATATACCCAGAAACGTTAAAATTAATCAGCGAAGAAAATATCGAAATATTTGTCCCTTTATTCAATCGCATTTATGATACAGGTAAAATACCCCAAGATTGGCTAGAGTCAGTATTCATCCCACTACCAAAAAAGCCAAACCCACAACACTGCAATGAGTTCCGTCTGATAAGCCTTATGAGTCATGCAGTAAAAGTCCTACTAAAAATCGTACATAATCGTATCTATAGAAAGTGCGAAACAATCATTGGAGACGATCAGTTTGGATTCAGAGCCGGCATGGGAGCGAGAGAAATCGCCCAAAAATGCTACGACCAACAGAAAGATATATTTTTATGCATTATAGACTTCGAAAAAGCATTTGATAGAGTAAGACACGACCTACTATTAGAACGTTTGCAAGAAGTCGGTTTAGATGGAAAAGACATCAAATTCTTAAAAAATTTGTACTGGAACCAAAACGCCAGAGTTAGGAGCGAAGGTTCCACATCCGCAGAAGTAGAAATAAGGAGGGGAGTTAGACAAGGATGTGTTCTGTCGCCTCTGCTGTTTAATCTTTACTTCGAGTTTCTATTTAAAGAAGCATTGGAGGATTCCAAAGATGGAGTCAATGTGAATGGCGTAAATATCAACAGTATCAGATACGCCGATGATACAGTGTTAATTGCGGATTCCGACTTAGGTCTACAACGACTCATCGACAAGACCAACTCGACCTGTGAGCAATTTGGTATGAAAATAAACATTAAAAAAACCAAAGTGATGTCAATCCGAAAAAACCAATACGTACCTCAACCTTGCACAATAAATGGGCACATTTTAGAACAGGTCAATAGATTTAAGTACCTGGGATGTTGGATCGATAGCAGCCTAAATCCTGATCTAGAAATAAGATCGAGAATAGAACAGGCCAGAAAATCTTTCGAAAAAATAAAAAAAACTGCTTTGTGATTCTCGAATAAAACGCGAAATGCGACTACGTTTATCAAAATGCTACGTCTGGTCGACTCTTCTATATGCAGTTGAAGCGTGGACCCTTAAAACATCAACCGTAAAATAAATTGGAGGCCTTTGAAATGTGGATCTATCGGAGAATACTCAAAATTTCATGGACATCGCATACCTCAAACGAAGAAGTGCTGCATAGAATAGGCAAGGAAAGAGAACTTTTTAACACAGTAAAAGTTAGAAAAACATCATACCTAGGCCACATACTGAGAAATAATAAGTACCAATATGCCCAACTTATAGTGAAAGGAAAAATCGAGGGAAAGAGAGGCCTAGGAAGGAAAAAGACTATCGTGGCTCAGAAACACCCGACAATGGACAGGGCTAAATTTTGAACGGCTAATAAGAACAGCTGAAGATAGAGAAGAGTTTAAAATTGTAGTAGCCAACCTCCATTGAGGAGAGGGCACTTTAAGAAGAAGAATTACTTATATGTATTTTTCTTTTACTTTGTACTTTGTACTTTTAAAATGTATCAGTATATAAGTCTGACCCTGTATACCTAGAAGATTAAATCCGAAACATCTTACAACGAACAGTAAACATAAATTTAAATGTGCAGAGCGATTCACGCAAGTCTAGCATAGTGATTCACGCAAGTTTAGCATAGTCCATACTTACAAAGTAAAAATGTATTTTATTACTTACAAGTCGGTCTGTGAAAATGCGGTGATGTGGGAGCCCTGTCGTACGGATCGATTGGTTTCCTTAGATAACCTTGAGTAGGTTCCTCCGTAAGATAACTATACGTGTATATTCTTGATATATCATCCACTAAATGGGCAGATTTATTATGATCCCTTAATATCAATCCTGGTGATGGAGAACGGTAACCAAACATCTGAAACGAAAGTAAATCATATGCAAATCGGTTAAAATTTACGTTTTATACAAATTCTAAAAATTTGATAAAAACAATAAAATACGATTGTCGTCATATCAGTATACAAACATTTATCTACATTTTAATTACCTTTAAAGTATTTACTATTGCGTAAGAACATGTGTAGAATAATATTGAACGCGGAAATAAAGCAAAATTATAAAATATAGTATTTATTAATGTGTTCTAATAGTGTTTTCGCAGTAATTTATTAGCCATATTGATGTCAACATTGAACACTATCCTTCTACTGGAAAAATGTTTATTGGATTTTACTAGATTATGATTTGTTGCTTTATATGTTTTGGTGTTTGAACATTATGATAAGAACTTTGAAAATAAGGCTATTATCGAGCACAAGTTAATTAAATGTAGCCCAAGTACTTTCGCTTAAAATAGCATCTTCAGGGGCATTTCGTCAAAATAAGAACTATCCGGAAAGCGTAGAAAGTGGAAACATTAAAAATAACATAAATTATACAAAACACTACACTAAAACGAGGACAATGAGGATGAGGATGATCATCCCTCCAGATACTGACAGAGAATGTAGCGTAGAAGTAATTTTAAACTGTTTGTCCTCGTTTTAGTGTAGTGTTTTGTACAATTTATGTTATTTTTAATGTTTTCACTTTCTACGCTTGCCGGATAGTTCTTATTTTGACGAAATGCCCCTGAAGATGCTATTTTAAGCGAAAGTACTTGGGCTAGATTTAATTAACTTGTGCTCGATAATAGCCTTATTTTCAAAGTTCATTTATTCGAGCATTCAACCTCATTTCATTTATTATGATAAGAAGCATTGTCAATTACTGGTACAGATTTCGAAGGCAAATTAGGAATTGATTTCCCTACCATCTATTTTTTATAATTTTCGAAATTCATTTCATGATAATCTCCTGTTGTCGTATTGGACTTAAAAATAATTTTGGCAATCAAAATAAAGCCTGTCGGGTCTTGATAAACCTTTATATGAATATAACTTTGAACTTAAATAAGACACTCTTAAGTGGGGTAGGGTTTATTTTCCATATTTTTAAAACATTTTTAAGGTTTTTTTTTAAATTGTTTAATATAAATTTATTTACAATATTGGTACATTATAGTACAATATTTCAAAGAGTATTATCTGAAATTTTGGTAAAAAATATTATAAATTAAGAAAATGACAGCTAATTTTCCAAGATGAAAAAAAAAGTTAATTTATGGTGTCCATCATAACTTAAGTGGATGATCTGTTGACAAAAAAACCAAAAAGATTTCGATAGTTTAAAGTTTCCCTATGTCACAACTCACAATATCATCTATTCCAGGCCCATATGAGAATAATGAGAACTTGACACTGTACTTATTCCAATTTCTATGTGAGTGTTCATTCACCTCACTCTCTCACTTACTCACCTCAATCACTCATCCCACTCACTCACTAACTCATAAATGCCTATAACTCCATTATTTTGTTTCGACCACTCTGAAATTTTAACAGGATACTCTTGAAGAGTTATATGATAAAATGAAAAAATAAAACGTAATATATAACCATGTCCCCTTAAGGAAAGAACATAATGTTTTTCCATTAAAAGTTTTCTGTTTGCTGTTGCTGAACAGTAAATATATTTGTCATAGTACTACCTGATATACCTTTATATGCAGTGTCAGTTGGTTTTAGGCTTTAGTAATGGGTATAAGGGTCGACGATGAGACTGATGAAAAGATCACCCCAAATGTCAAACTCATCTACTGGCATGGTGGCAATTTTTATTATCTGCTGCATCGTGTTATAGACGAATCTTTAACATAACATATAGTATTGAAACTAACGGGATACTACAACACTTCACCGTCTTTCCCAGAGATAATTCTCTTAAGACTTCAGACAAAAATGAAGCAAGGGCCCTCAGTTCCGGACAGATCTTACATGACCAGAGAATGTTAAGAATCCCCTGGGTTCAACTTCAAAATGTTTTCTTAAGGTAGCGTCAAGGATAATCCATAATTTATCCCAGGAAAATTACATAACATGTTTGAATGCGATGCATAACATGCGACGAAGAAGTAGAAGCAATGGGTGTAAGTGAACTGAGGTGGCCTAGCTCAGGTATTTCTCTTAAAGACAACTCTGCAGTGTCCTTTTTCTGTAACGACGCCACAGACAATTATCATGGCCTATTGGGACCGTGCAAGTTCGGAAGAGCGACACCTGGTGTCGTAAATCAACAAAATTTACTGCGCTTTCATGTTAGATCGAGGTTACCGGATGACTGTCAAAGACGTAGCCCCAAAAAAGAATAAGAAGAAAAAGTAAGATTGAGGTTATGTCGGTATATTATTAAAAGGTAAACGTTGTATGTAGTGTAAATACAATTAAATACATTATTAAATTACAGCATTACTGTTAATATGGATGCAATAATAAAAACTGGATTTGAGAAAGTAAATCACCAAATAACTTTTCAACCAAGCACTGAGTCAAAGGGAAAAGCATTAGTAGTGGCAAATTATGTTAAGAATGTGGAAGAATTAAGAAAAAATGGACAAAGCTATGTAATACATAGCTAAACTTAAAGTTACATTAGCATAAAACTTGATTTTTGGGTTAAAGTGAACTCTAAGTGAGTGTTATGAAACTAAAATTTTCACTTAAAAGTGAACTTTTATTTATTATTTATTTCAAACTGACTTTAAAATTGGGCGCAAGAATAATGCATAATTTAGGTTATGTTACTTATGCTTTTTTATGATATAAATACAATTTTCTTTTTGTAGTAATTTGTGCGTCGAAGTTGGAAACGAATAAAACTTAAATTGACAATTTTTTGTTGTATTTTTACAATTTATAACACAGCATTTACTAAATCCCATTTTCTTCAGTGACAGAAGGTGTAAATAAACAAACGAATATGAAATATGACAATTGACAATATGAATTTATGAAATCTATGAAATGTGCAGTAAAAATTGTAAGATTTCTCCGCTACTCGCGCACGATCGTTTCTCGTATCACATCCAAGTACTTGCACGTCGCCAAAAGGATATAGATCAAAAAGTTATAGATCAAAAAAAGCTTTAGTAATTATGTCAATATTACATGTCTGTGTTATTTAATATGCATAAATTGCATTAGCAGACAGAGTAACAAGCCACAAATTGGTAAGAAAAAAAGTCTGTTGAATTGTGATACATTACAAATAAACAGTGCAGTAAAAAATGCAAGATTTCTCCGCTACTCGCGCACGATCGTTTCTCGTATCACATCCAAGTACTTGCACGTTGCCAATAATTAGGGAAAAAATTAAACAAAGTATCTCCACATCTACACTTACAAAAGTAAAATGTAGATGTGGAAATGCGGTAGGGATTTCGATCTGGGTAAGAAAAATACGATACAGTGTTGCTGGCAGATAGTGCGTAGGGGCTCCAAAGAATGATGGATAACGTTGTAGAAACATGTAACAAATAAGTCTAAATGGCAAGAAGACAAAAATAATGATCATTAGTAAGAACACCAACATAAACACCGTTAGAAAGAGTGGAAAAATATGCTATTTGGGCTGCAATATTAACGATACTTGGGATCACAGCTACGAAATAAAAACTCGTATTGAAAAAGCCAGAAGCTCTTTCAATAACCTTAGGAAGATTCCCTGCAACTTATCTTTAAGTACCAATACACGCATAAGAATTCTTAGATGTTACGTCTTTATGTATGTGTCCTCCTCTATAGAATAGAAAGCTGGAGCTTTACAGAAGATGCCATAAAACGATTAGAGGCATTTGAAATGTGGTGCTACCGACGTATTTTGAGGGTCTCACATATACACCACACAATTAACATAACTATTCTCCAAAGGTTAAGAAAAGACAAAGAAATTATTAACACCGTAAAGAACAGAAAATTGGCTTACTTCGGCCACATCATGCGTAATAATAAATACCGACTTCTACAGTTGATTCTACAAGGCAAGATTGAGGGTAAGACAGGCCCTGGACATAGACGTACATCCTGGCTGGCCAATCTTAGGAAATTGACTGGTCTAAAGTCAACGAATCTATTTCGAGCTGCTGTAAATAGAATAAGATGGGTCAATGTGGTCGCCAACAGCTCTAGAAGATAGGCACATTTAGAAGAATAAAAATGAGCGAGAAGAGTTACTGCTTGAATTTTGTGAAGAAAATGACTTCGTCCTAATTCGTGGTTTCAGCTTCCACGAACATGACTGTAGGCAAGAGGAGCACCAGGAGATTCTCCAGATCGCCATATCCTCAGAGAGCAAAGATCAGTAACCCCCAAGTAATTATGCAACGAAATATTAAGGCCAAGAGAGTAGGTTGCAAAAAAATGTCGTGGCTACTGAATATAAAGAACTGGACAGGTATAAATAACACTGGCGAGCTCTGTCATACCGCGAATGATAGATTAGACTTAAGATAATTCCCCAAGAGCACTGTAAGTAGAAATATTACCTGCAACTATTCCATGTTTTTTCTTTTTTCTATTCTTCTTTCGGAAACACCTGTCGGAGTAATACCTCGTTCATACAACTTAGGGTTTTGTCTTGGTTCATGATTCACTCTGTGTACTTTAAATAACCTTTTTTGAAATCTGCTATAATAACTGATATATCGTACTGAGACCTACTATTGCCGCACCCTCCGAACCATTCAACCGATAACCATTCGTTTCAACGTTATCTATTGTACTATATCTCACCGCTAGATTGCGCTGTAAACAGTTCTGCATCCTAAATTAAATGCATGTTATCTTCAGTTAGATAGACAGAGCACCACGTCTATTGGATAGCGCTAGTATAATAAACTAAACTAAAAATAACGTTTGCATATTTTTAGATTATTATCTCGCTATCGTACAATTTAAATATTTAAATATATGAAAAATTATCAGCTAGAGGCGTGGTTATGGTTAATATAAAAACTAGCAACAAAATTAATGCATAGTAATTGTAAATACCTGTAAAATTAAATAAATATCAAAAACCAACCTTTCTAGACATGCTTGTGGGACTATACAATGAACCATTCAAGCTAGGAGTACGTGATCTCATGGAAAACTGCAAAAAACATGCAAAAATAAAATAAAAACTATAAAAAGGCAACTCAAAAAATAAAGGGGTACAAGCAATAAAAACAATTTTTGCCATAAAAAAACGTAAGGAAACATAAAATCTACTTTACTTCATTTTTTCAAGGTTATTGTTGTATCTTTATGCGAGTGGTGACATAATTTTCTGATAACAATATTTAATTAACATAATTTAATTATAAATTGAACATTTATTAGTTCTACAAATAAATGAGTAATTATACTATTACTGTTATTCTTTTTTCTTTAAGGAGTTTTATCAAATCTGTGTTTGAGAAAGATAACGCTAAACATTGTAGCCATAATGTCATCACCTATTAAAAATAAATAGGAATTATATATAATAAACAGGATTGTGTTTAACTTTTGTATATATCTGTCAATTTATCTTGAATAAATCAACCATCGATACCAAAACGTGTCGCATTCAAATGATTAAATGTAAACTTGTCTCAATATACAAAAAAAAACAATGAACATCAATTAAAATGTCGACACCTGATATGAATAACAGTGTAACTCTACTTACAATGTTTTAACTGTCGATAAAATAACATTCGTAAAGTACAACTTTGATTTTGGTCTAATTACTTTTATCCTATTTTCTATAAATACAGTGGTGTTAAGAAGTCACCTTACCTTCTTCTTCTTAACATGCCATACACCAAAGTGCGTAGGCGACTATCTCATTACTAGAATTCTGTTCTTGGCGGCGTGACACAGCTCACCTGTATTGTGTATTCCTGCCCATTCTTTAATATTCCTTTACCAGGACAATTGTTTGCGGCCGGCTCCTCTCCTACCTTCGATCTTCCCTTGTAGGATTAACTGTGGTATTTCATATTTTGCTCCTCTCAATATGTACCCAAGGTAACCAATCTTGCGTCTTTTAATTAATTCAAAGAGTTCTCTTTCCACGCCGGCTCTATTAAGGACGTCATCGTTTCGAACTCTATCCACCCAAGGTATGCGCATCATTCTTCTCAATGACCACATTTCAAATGCTTCAAGTTTGTTGATAGATGTTTTTTTCAAAGTCCACGTTTCCATGCCATAAAGCAAGATGGACCATATGTAGCACTTGTATGTAGCACTTGACCATTCTGTAGCGTATTTCGAAGTTTAGGTGTTGATTACATAGGAGCGGTCTGAATTTCACAAAAGCTTGTCTTGCCATTTGTATTCGGGTTTTTATCTCGTGTTGTGGATCCGATTGGTCATTGATTGTGGTGCCAAGGTATTTAAAAGTTTTCACGCGGTTTATACGATTGTCACCTATGCATAATATGTCACCTTACCAAATACATGAAAATAGAACTTTAAGGCATTTACTTTAAATATTTTTAACCATTTAGTATCTACATCAAACAAGAACTTAAACACAATATTATACAATGGAAACACAGCAAAAATTTTGATTAATAAAAAAAATATAGTTCGTATAATTTTTTATTGAATATTACAAAACTTCTATATTTACATCAAGACGATATTGTACATCACATTGAAGTAATTTAAACTAATTGTAATATTTAATTGGCCAGTCCTTGTTTTTAATAACTAGTTCACATCTTTTGGGCATAGAATTTATTAATTTTTGCAGTTCCTCCATGGAAATACAGTGATGCCAAGCGTGGATTAGAGATTCGATTAATTTCGTTTTATTTGTGGGTTTACTTTTGAAAATAATAATGTTTGATATCCTTTGCCACAAATTCTCGATGGAATTGAGGTCCGTGGATTGCGCTGGCCAGTCCATCCTATTAATTTCATTACTTTCAGTCCAAGCTTTAACCAATTTTGCTCTATGGCAAGGAGCATTATCAATCTGAAAAATAAATTTTTCTTCGCCAAACAGAAAAGAACAACTAAGATGTATTTTGACGAGTCTTTAACGCTTGCCAAATTGTATTCACTGTATAAAGAAAGGATGCTAATCACCGTTAAGCCAGCCACCAAAAGTCAGTATGGACATATATTAAATACTGAGTTTGAGTCTTTTTGCAACCGAAAAAAAATCAGTGTCTCACTTGTAATCGACATAACACTAAAGCAGAGAAACACCAAATAGAAAAGGAAGATGCTTTAATATTGCAAACATACGGATGTGAATGAAACGACAAGCGGAAATCAGAAAGATATACGCCACTGAAATGTTCTGTTGGAGAGTAAATTTTCGAATTCCGTGGACCGACCACAGGACAAATATTTCAATTTAAATGTGTTAAAAGTTACCAAATGGCTATCCAGCAAAGTTCATCTCCAACAATTAAAATACTTTGGACATGTTATGAGAGCAGATACAGAAAACATGGAAAGACTTATTACTCAAGGAAAGTTAGAAGTAAACGAGAAAGATCTCCAATAAGATGGATCGATCAAACTACAGGCATATGCAAAAGACCTATGCATGAGCTAAAATAAATGACCAGAGACACTACACTCCCTCCGGAGGGTCAGAGAAAAAATACTATGCAGGGTAAAATCAAAGGTAGAAGAAGCGTAGAAAGACGTAAAATCTCATGGCTACGCAATCTCCGTGAATGGTTTGGATGCAGTTCAATTGAACTATTCAGGCGCGTAACCAACAAAATTATAATTGCCAGAATATCAGAATTCAAATGGAACTTGAAGAAAAAGAAGAAGAAAACAGTAATAGTTGTAACTGCCTGCTTTGATTTGCAAAAAATAATAACTACACCCAAATCAGAGGTATCATTATTTTATTATAAAAGGAAGTTTAAGTTGTATAATTTTACTATGTTTGATATTGGATGTCCGGAAGGTTATTGTGATGCAAATATTATAAACTGTTTTGTGCTGTGTAAATGCTCATTTTGTTTACTTCTTGTTAGTATGTATGATATGAATTATTAGGTACTTGTTTATTTATTTACAATTATTAGAAACATACTTTGTTGAAATATCATTGTATAAACCACTTACAATGATCTTCACCTAAAATTCTTGAAAAACTTGGTGTTGTAACTAAAAAAAAAACTACATAAAAAAAATGAAAACTGACGAAGTAAAAAAATAAAATGTTATGGATTTTTTTAACTAGCTCTCCTCTAAACAAAGCAAAAGTGAGTTACAATGTTTTTCATATCAGGTGTCGACGTGTCATATCATGAGATTAGTCGAAAAACCAGAATACAACACTAAACAATTAAAAAAAGTCCTTTCAACACTTACAGAGTGGCCCAAAAGTCTGGAAACGGCTAATTATCTCGTAAAATGCTAATCATAATTGTACAAAATTTGAGGTACACCTATTTTGGGATACGGAGATTCCATATTTGATATTTACAATGTTGCCAGATTTGCCTTTTTTCTTATATTATTAGTAACTTTGGTTTTTCAAATACATCACCCTGTATATTCAGTCATTATTGGAATCTCCTATTCAATACGAAATCAACCATATGTAACACTTATGATTTTATGTAATCTGGAAGGTCATAAATACATAAAACCGAAGTCTGGCAACGCCTAAATTGTTTAAATACATTTTTTAATACTAACTATTTTCAAATACATTAAAACGTAACAATTGATAGTTTAGATAATTTTTTAACATAGTAGTTACGTTATTTAGTGTTCAAAATGTGCTCAATTTGTGAGTTGACAGCACCCTATCGATGGTAGAAGGCGTCTACCACATTTCTCCATGATTGTCTAGAAATTATTCGAGATTCATTGATAATTCGTTGCCTTAGCTCTGCAAGACTTGCTGGTTAAGTTTTGTAAACTGAATTTTTCTAGTATCCCTAATAAAAATAATCTTTAGGATTGAAATCGGGTGAACGTGGAGGCCATTCAATTCTACCTTGTCTACCAATTTATCGTCCAGGAAATATCTCATCTAAATATCGCCGAAGATTTACACCAACTATCTGACGTTAAATTTCTTTCGACAAAAAATGACCCAATTGAATAAGTAACTACTATATCTGACCATACAATTAATTTTTGTGGTCTTTGAGTATGGTTTTCACGCATTCAGTGTGAATTTAACACGAGTTCAGCTATTCAATATTAACAATGTCATAACCTTCATTTAACTCATTAACCTCGTCGTTTCTCCTGACTCTCCATGTGCCATCTTCCTCTTGTGTCTCTATGTGTCTGACAGAGACACACCTAACAGTAATAAAAAACTGCCTACGTATACCTTTTGTCATAACAATCGTGCTTATACCAAATATGTACAAAATTCTACACGAAATATAAAAATACAATAATATACAATGTGTGCCATTCAAAATAATAAATATTGTTCTGAAGCTCTTTTCTTGTGGCATTGTAAATTAATTACTATTTATAACTGGGAATAAGCCACAATTAAAGATAAAAATACGTTTATTGACGTTTCAATTTCCAATTCGGAAATCGTTCTCAAAATACAAACAGTAAATTAAACAAATTTTGTTTTTTGTTACATAGTGAAAAAATTCTTCTAATAATTTAATTTTATCTGACTCATTTATATTGACAATTCAGACATACATTATGCATTTTAAAGTAGACGACTTTAAAATGATATTGCCAATATTCTTGAGTTGCGCTCCTGGGACGACTTTACTTATAAGATAGTTCATTCGATTACATGAAATCAACTTTAACTTGAGAATATCCGTCAGAAAAAATCATACCATGTAATTCGTCTTTAAAAAGACAAACACATGACATGATGACAGTAAAATTCTCCTGTTAGTGATTCCATAGTAAATTATGAGGGAAAAACCAGGAAAAAAACCTCATAATACTATCCCGACATTGTAAGTATTTGTTCGTGAATTTATAATAAACATGTAACATGTAACATATAAAATCAGAATTTTGATGTTTGTTGAAGGTAAACACGAACAAATACTTACAATGTCGGGATAGTATTATGAGGTTTTTTTCCTGGTTTTTCCCTCATAATTTACTATGGAATCACTAACAGGAGAATTTTACTGTCATCATGTCATGTGTTTGTCTTTTTAAAGACGAATTACATGGTATGATTTTTTCTGACGGATATTCTCAAGTTAAAGTTGATTTCATGTAATCGAATGAACTATCTTATAAGTAAAGTCGTCCCAGGAGCGCAACTCAAGAATATTGGCAATATCATTTTAAAGTCGTCTACTTTAAAATGCATAATGTATGTCTGAATTGTCAATATAAATGAGTCAGATAAAATTAAATTATTAGAAGAATTTTTTCACTATGTAACAAAAAACAAAATTTGTTTAATTTACTGTTTGTATTTTGAGAACGATTTCCGAATTGGAAATTGAAATGTCAATAAACGTATTTTTATCTTTAATTGTGGCTTATTCCCAGTTATAAATAGTAATCAAAATAATAAAGGTTGATGAAAACTTTCAGCAAGCAAGGAAGCAAGCTGTCAATATTTTAAACCATAAATGTATTTGTATGTCTACACTTAACGCATAGGTAATTTTTGATCACAAAACTGTACAACAATAACCTTAAAAAATTTAACATTCAACAAAAATAAGAAGTTTAGATTCAAATCACAATATTAGTGTTGGTGTTCTACACCTGCAAACCCTTAGATCGTAATCAATCAACTCGCCGACTTACCTGCAACTCGCTAGCGCCTGACGTACTGTGCCTGTCATAATCTTTAATTGACATATCGGTGTCGGTGCAGTTGCCATTGGCTTCGCCAGTACCGTTAAGAATTTCTCCGTTTTCAGTTGGACCAGGTCCGCAACGAGGATGCCAAATTGCACCACCTTGAAGATACATCTCTTCCCCGTCCCCGAATGGATCTCCACATTTCGTACAACGGGCGCAAGTTGGATGGAAGTGATGATTATCTCCAGCCTAAAAAAAATATTTACGTTAGATGAAGTTGAACCCAATCAGCGTCTCTCAAGTACTGTTTCCTCTGGATTTTTAAAGTTCTTCGCTCATATCCATTGAAGTGATCATAAAATGGAGCGGTTGGTGGTTCAACAATAAATCTAAATTGTGTTCTTTCCAGTGTTTTCACATTTTTGTTTAATAATGGGATAGTCAGTGCACTGTTTTGAAATAGTCCTTTTTGGTAATACTATAAAAGTTGTGTCATAAAACAATTAAATATTCTTGTTAACCATTTGATTCCTTCATTGTCAAACAATTTAAGAAATTATGAGTGGAAATTAGCTGGTCCCGGTGCTTTCCCATCTTTCATTAAATGTATCTCGCTTCTTATTTCCACTCTGCAATGGATGTTTTGGTTGTTGTACCGTAATTGCGTCATCATTAAACTACTCATTCACATAATTATTTCAAGTTTCTTATTTCTGATTTTGTCCAAAACTATTCTTCCAATTTTATCTTGTGCAGATTAAAGTGGTTACATTAAGAACAACAAGAGCCAAAAAAAGCACTATGTGGTGCTTATAAACTATGTGGTAAAAGTATATACAAACTTAAATGTGGTGACTGTCCAAAAGCTTACATAATTCAAAGTGGTAGAACCTTTAACAAACGTATACCAGAACACAAAAGGGCTATCAATAATAAAAAAGCAGATTCTACCTACGTACTTCGCTTTAAGCCATATTCTTTTAAATATTTTTCTTTAAAAAAGCAATTTCAGCTTTTAAGTTGAAAGTTTTCAGTGTTTTATTGCCTTAAGCTATCTTTATTAGAATCTATGGAAATTAATAAATTTAAAAATGCAGATATAATTCTGAATGAGCAATTTGAGACAATACAGCTTCCCCCTCCTCAACTTATTCAGTTAATGCTACTCTGTCGAAACAGTTGTGAAAATACACTTCCATCAAGTAACAGTGGAATACATCCCTGATTTAAAACTACTCATATGTTTATGTCGTTAATTTATTATCTATAATCTATAGTTATCTATCTCATTAATTCTCATTGTTTTCCTTTGCCGATCTTTAAGTTGAAATCTCTCATAATTATGTTTAATTGTAAATTGACTGGATAATGAGTCGTAGAGAATTTCAACTTTTTCGTTTTCTGTCTGTTTTTCAATGTGTCTCCAGTAAGTTCGATCGTAAGTGTGTTCGATAAGTCATTCGATAAAGACGATAAAGATACACAAACATTAAATAAAAAAAAAAATTGTTTTCGTTATACAAACCTGCAAAACTTTCCCACTAATGAATCTATTGCAGTAAGCACATTTCACACCAAATTGTTTCTGGTAATCCTTTTCGCAATATGGAACTCCATTTCTACCCATATACTCTCCATGTAGTACGGTACCACAAGTGGTACATTTGAAACACCAAATATGCCATTGCTGATCTAAAGCCACCAAAGCTTGGCCCTCTTTCAATTCTTCCTTACAGCCAGCACACTCTGTAAATGGAAATATCTATTATAATATATTTAAAAAATTATAAATATCATCCTAACTTAAAAAATATATATACGAGCCCACCAAGGCAAGGAGATCCTCTCGCCCCGCCTGCTATTTAATTTTGCACTGGAACATGCGGTAAGGAAAGCTCAACCACAACTGACAAACGGATTTGCCGCCCAGAGATCAAAAATACTATTGGCGTTTGTGGAGGACATGGACACAATTGCACAATCCACCAGAGACGCAAAAGAAGTTTTCACCCTATTCGAAAACGGAGCCAAGAAAGTTGGTCTGAAGGTCAACGAAGACAAGACCAAGTACTTGGTGGTTATGAAGAATCCAAGGCCAAGGGTTAGACAAAACGTAACAATCAATGAATACAACTTTGAAGCCGTCAAAGAATTCAAATACCTGGGAGCGATCATAACATCTAAAAATAAATATGAAAAGGACGTGGCCGCCAGGATTATATCAGGAAACAGGACATATTACTCATTAATGACCGTACAAAAATACTCTCAATACCAGCAAAAATAAGAGTGTATAAGACAATAATTCATCCCACAATAACGTATGGAAGCGAAACATGGACTCTGAACCAGCGGGAAACGACAAAATTACTGGTACTGGAAAGAAAGATACTGCGGACTATCTATGGGCCTTGCAGAGAAGAAGACACAATGATGTCACACACACCTCCAGACAGTATATGGAGATGAAAACATAGTACGCTACATTAAAGCAAACCGAATAAGATGGACGGGCCACGTGCTAGGATCGAATGATGAAAGACTCCTGAACGCCACCTCTGGGAAGGGCCCGTTGGCAGAAGGCCAGTTGTTCGCCCAAGAAAGAGATGGAAGGGCGTAGTAGCCAGTGATCTATGCAAAATGGGAATACAGCAATGGGAAATAGCTGCTCAGGACCGAAAACAATGGAGGTAAATAGTAAACGGAGTCAAGGCTCACATAGAGTAGTAGAGCCAAATTATGATGATTATGGTTTTTTATTTATTTTAAACAATAAAAAATTTCACTAAACTCTGGCTATGCATTCACTTATGTCAACATACGTTGATTTTTTCATAATTACGTTAAATCCAGAGGTAGCTACGGAAAAATGACATCAAAACCATATTGTCAATTAATGTCAAATGTATTTTGCAGTATTGTAAAGCTTGTTGCCGTTTGTGGATTGTACAAGGGGTCGAGATAAAGTTATCGATGAGAAAATGTGTTCAATCATTTTAGATTTTTTAATTCTGGATAATCCAATTCGGAAATCGCGAATATGTTGCAATTGTCAAGCTATAGTGTAAGAAATATAGCCAGAAGATACAAAACTATAGCTTCGGTCGTCACAAAACCTAGAAATATACGAAAAAGTAAAATAACCGAAGCACATAGAAGGGCATTAAGACGCATCAAAGTGAAAAATTGACGAGCAAATAGATAAACTGAACTCCTTAGTCTTGAGTCAGTATAAAGGAAGAAAGCCTTGACGAAAAATTCCTAGGTGGCGTTCCACTTTGTTTTGTTTATATTCGCCGATTATTTCTTCTATTATTTACCAGCGAACACGTTTCTGAAAAACTTTGCCACCAAATCAATATCGTATCTATGTCTTGTATAACCTTACAAAGCTTTTAACCTTGATTGATAAAAATGTTAACAGAAAGTTAGCTCTTGGAAAACAAAATTGACCTTTTCCTTTTTTATTTACGAGAATGAAGACATGTAAATTATCACCCTGTATGTAATCTCATTATACTAAACAATCAAATTGACTTCTAGATTAATGTAAATATCAATAAAGATTATAAAAAAATATAACTATATTCTTTCGGAAATTTATCTGATGCCACAATTTTAAAATTTACATATTTATACAGAAATTAATTTGAATTACAAATATTTAAAAATAAACAATTAGTCATTTAAACCAAAATATTTGGGTAACTGATTATATTTACCAGAAATAGATTTCAATAATTAAAACCACCCACAAATATTTTGGCATGTTGTTTATATATTTTCATTTTATATTTATATTGTGTTTAATACTACTAATACTCTAGTTTGATACTAATAATCTTTAGTAATTTAGTATTATTTCGTACTTATGAGTAATACATTAAATCAGATTTAATTTTTTTCTGAAGAACATGTGACTTTGACATCTTTATGGATTCAATTGAAAAAAAAAAGAACTGCTTAGTGGTTGTCGTATGTTACTCAGTATTGTACTCAAAGATATTGGTTTTAAATGGCTAAAACATAATCCAAGGCGAAGACTCATATTGCTATAAAGAGAACAGAAATATTGAGATTATATCAAAAATATAAACATGAAGAACTACATACATAGTAGGTTTGTTTTTATAGATGAAACTTGGATTTTTCAGAATGGATCTATACATTTGTTTGACCTCGGCATTTGTTCTCATTCGGTATTGGTTAGTATTCGGATCGTGATAGGAACCGAAGATCTTTCTGAGGATTTTTCTCTCAAAGCATCTGAGTTTACTTTCCATTGCTTTTGTCAGCGTCCACGTCTCACACCCATACATGAGCACCGGTCTAATTACTGTTTTATATATCCTGATTTTTGATGTTCGTGTTAGGCTCTTGGATTTAATAGCGTTGTGGAGGCTATACATACATCTGTTTGCTGCCTGAATTCTCCCTTTTATCTCTTCCGTGATATCGTTATCTGTGGTGATAGTCGCTCCGAGATATTTAAAACTCTCCACTCTTTCAAAGTTATAGGGGTCTATTGTTAAATTTTGTCCTATTCTATCTCGTCTCTTTTGTCTGTTAATGCACATATATTTGGTTTTCTCTTCATTGACCCTTAGACCGGTATTTTTTGCCTCTCTCTCTAATTTATTGAAGGTTTCTTTTACATTGGTGACGGTATTTCCTACAATGTCAATGTCATCCGCATATGCTAGTACATAAAGATATCACATCATCGGTAAAATGTGAGAAAAGGTTATCTTCTGTGATGATTTTTGGCCCTTCAAAACGTTTTGCATGTGGTAAAAAGGTTAAAGTAAACCAATCCGTAAATTTCTGAGAATCCTGCGATTATGTCGAGAACAGACAGAGAAACATCTATCTATAATGCTGGTAATATAGCCTATATTAAGCATACCGTCATAATGCCGGAGTAGTCAGCAATGAATTAATTTAATTTCAGAGTAATATGATTTCTCTATGATAAAATTTTCAAGTGTCTAACTTTAAAATTTGAAGCACTTTTTCTTAACAATTTGAAGCAATTAATCATAGAAATATGGGGCACTGTCACATTTGTTTTGTGCATCTCTATCACAGATTTTCATGGCATACCTTGATTTGTAGAGAAAAAGCTATGAAATCGAATGGTATGTATTAACAAAAAAATTTTTGTGAAAATTGGAATAATAGTGGTGTTTCTTAGACATTTTTGTATGTAGATTAACGATAAAACTATCTAGTTACAAATAGATATACAATATAAACATGTATCAAATGTGAGAAACCAAGTTCACAGTTACCGGGGAAACAGATTAGAGCAAGTATTAAAACAAAAATAATCGTATTTTTCTTAATTAAACCACTTTTTACTTATCAAAATCTAGGTTTAGAAATACGTTGGCGAGCTTATCGATGTAACATCCTTTCTGCACCTTCACATAAAACCGAAGAATTTATCGTACACCTTCATAATACAAAAATTACGGCACTTTTGAAAACTTGTTGTTTACTACCATACAAGGATTTATTGATATATAGTTAACTTAGACCTGTTAAATATCGATAAAAAAGACGGAACGTTATGGCGTGTGAAGGTAAATACTCTACAAGAATAAAAATAATTGACGATCATCCACTAGAAAATTTATTGAAAAAAAGGGGATACACAACACACCTGATTAAAGCAATTAAAAATATGAATAGAAATATAAATATCACCATTAACACTTTGGTACTGCGTGTACCATTTCTGGTACACAGTTGTTGATGTTTACCAGAAACTGCGCGTATCAAATTTGGTTACATGAAGTGAAGCTTTGTGTACGTTTGGTGAACACAGTTCCGATGCTTTTATATGCGCATCTAGGCTCCTACAGTTTACGGCTAAATTTTGGCGAAGCAATTTGATACTTATTCAACAGATGGCCGCACTATGATGATTTTTTAAAATTTTGGCAGAGCAGTTTCCTTCAGCGGATGGCATATTACTGACTTGCGGGCGTGATTCATTGTATTAGTTTGTACAACATTACTCTTTATATATATATATATATATATATATATATATATATATATATATATATATATATATATATATGAAGATGATGATGATTCGATAGATGATCCAAATTATCAAGATTTGGGTTCTTCCTCACTTTAAGAGTTAGAATTCGAATCTGATCTAGAATCTCTCAACAACGATTCTGAATCTGATAATTTTTTAAATAATACTAATTTTAATCCTAATGTGATTTGGAATAATTGTGCAGGTAATATATAAATTAGTATTCACTTTTATAATTTTGAGTTTTGTTTACAATTTTGTAGGTAATTTGAAGACATTTACTTTCACGGAAAATTCAGGATTCTCTCTGAGTTTTTTTTTGCACAGAGGAAAGGAGATCATCCGATTCATTTTTGTAAATAATTTATTGACAACGAACTCTTATCACATATTGCCGAGGAAACTAACAGATATGCAGAACAGAATAAAATATTAGGACTTACAAATAATACATTAACAAAAACAACATTATTGGTATAATGGAGAAACACAATTCAATCCGACATTTTTGTTTTCTTAGGTTTTCTAATTTGGAAATTGCCTCAGATGAAAGGCTCAAAAAATTCCTTCCCTTGCAAAATTTGTTAATCAAGAAGTTCTAATCAGCATGTTCCTGACAAGAATGTGTGTATAGATGACACGATAATTCCTTTTCGAGGACGACATACGAAAGGTTACACAAACAATTTTAAAAGGTATACAGGAAAAGTGCAAACACCCATTGAAAAGCCAATTATTGGTACAAAAGTGGTGGTGCTACAGCTTATGGAACCACTTTTACATTCAGGCCGCGTTCTGTGCACAGACAATTATTACACTGGCGTGAATTTAGCACACGAATTACTGAACAAAGATACACATTTAATAGGCACACTGAGAAAAAACAGGAAGCATAATCCGAAAGTAGTAAGTGAGGCTAAATTAAAAAGTGGCGAATTAATCATGAGACAAAACAACAATAAAGTCACAAAAGAAATGTCATGTTTCTCACTACGGAGTCTGTGCCTGATAGTGGATGTGCCAACAAAAAGGGGTGTGGTATGTATCTATAGCCCAAAATCTATTCTTGTGTTGAATATAGGCCTCTCCCATTTGTCTCTGTCTTCTGTCTTTTCCACATTGGACCTGCGCTTTGCTCAATGTCATCTTTCCATCTCATTTGCGGTCGACCTCTTGACCTTTTTGCAGTATATGGTCTCCAGCGGCCAATTTATTTATTGCATCTTCCATCCTGATATCTTTCATTACGCCCAGCCCATTTCAATTTTAATTTCAATGCATGTTCGACAGCGTCTGTTGTTTCGGTTTTGCATCTTATCCACTCCTTCCTTTTTTATCTCTCAACGATATTCCCAACATTTGTCTTTCCATAGCTCTTTGAGTTTTCTTTATTCTATCTAAGTTGCTCTTGGTACACGTCCATGTCTGGGCGCCATATGTCAGAACAGGCAGGACGCATGCATTGAATACCTTCATTCTTAATTTTAAAGGTATTTTTTGGTTTTTGATAGTATATGAGAGTTTTCCGAATGCGGCCCACCCCATTCTTATTCTTCTGGTTATTTCTTTAGTCTGGTTACTTTTGTCTACTCTGATAGCTTGTCCTAAGTAAATATATTCTTGGACGTGTTCTATGTTTGTTCCATCTATGGTAACTAATCTGTCTTCTGTATTAGTCATTATTTTAGTTTTCTTTAGATTCATTTTTAGTCCTTTCGTAAGAGATGTTTTTTCTAGGTCTAAAATCATTAATCGTAGTTGTTCCATAGTTGTTGCTATCAGGAGTACATCATCGGCGTGGTAATCATCAACACAAAGGGGTGTGGTACAATAAAGTGAAATCATTTATAGACGTCTCTAATTAAAAAGCATCATATTCATCAGCAGATCGTAGGGGTAAATCACAAACTTCCTGTAGTGGAACAGAGAGGTCGTCTTACAAGATGTTAGAAAATTAATAGTGATAAAAATGGATGTAACTTTGCTATAAAAGAAACAAAACGTGTTAAAACACCTTGTCTAGCATGCTGTAAGAAGTTCTTGTGTACCAACTGCTTTTTTGACACTCATTACTGTCAAGCAAAAAAATGAACATTGTATCCAAAAAGAGTACACACAGTTTCTAGGAGAATAATTACGAGTTTATTTCTGTCACAAACTGTGTAGGTATATCATTTTTTGACCCTGCCTTTACACATGATTTTTTTTTCAAAAAAATACCTAAATGTTTGTGTGAACATGTTTTTAGTATTAAATATTGTGAATTTCACCAAAATATAGTTTCAGTTTCTGACAAAAAACTTTAAATTTATAACCAGTAGCCAAAGTGTTAAAATGTAGAAATACGAATATTACTACTAAAATAGTTTTAGGGAGAAGCCCGAGGGTAGGAGTGGAAAACTATGTATTGTATCTTTTTTAGAGCCCCAAAGTTTACATCCAGAGTAAAATCCAGCTTGTTCGTTCAGTTTTTAGAGATGAAATCGTCGAATATTGGACTATTATCATGTCGTTCAAAAAGTGTCTCATCAGTAGAACATTAGTTGAAAAATAATAACGGACAATCAAAGATCATTTCAATTAAATAATCAAATCTACTACAATAAATTTGCTATATTTTTGAAAAAAAAATGTCATTGAGCAAAAGTTGCCGATGTATATAATTCCCAAAAATTTTTTTTTTAACTGTCTTCATAATTTTTATACTAATATCATATTAATAAAAAACAAATTCGGGAAATAAGTTTTTCGTATTTATGTTGGACATTTGGACAGTTAACGATATATGCAAATGTCGCATCACGAGTTAACCTAATAGTATGGTAAATGTAACAAAAAATAACTTTCAACAGTTTGGTGAACTTAGTATTACCACATTAGTGATTCACGGTCATGTGTTGGGATTATATCATACCGAAGTGACCAAAGGTTAACTACAAGGATGCCTGACGCAAGTTTTAACAACTAACATAATAAACATTATCTTAACTGTTCTATAAAAAGTCCGAAATAAATTAACATAATGATTTTGTTTAAAATGACCATCAATTTAACAGTACCATTTGAAAATTACGGCAAATTTAATTTTAAACGCACAGCCAAACTTTTGCATAATAAATACATTAACTGGATTATTAAACACAGGTATAATTAAATTAAATAATCTGGTACTTACCGTTGGCACTATTGGTAGTTGGACTACTTTTTGGAGTGGCGTTTTGGGTAGGTATTTGAACACATTTTGGACAAAGCACCTCTTTGCCGGTGTACGTAACTTTTTCTCCCGACGGGAAGCTTTGCTTACATCTATCGCAAGTAAAGCATTTTTGATGGTAAGTTTTCCCTAAAGCGGTTACTACCTGAAAATAAAAAAACACATATTTTATATTATGTTTGATTTACAGAAACATCAGTGAGTACACTTTGTTGGGTCACAAAGTAAAACTACCGAAGATGCTTATGAATTGGCAAAAAAAGTCATTAAAAAAGATGTTAACAATCAAATCATTAGATATTTTAATAATGGTTCTTATTCGATTAGTAAATGGAATATTCGAAGCATGTAAAATTGTGTAGTTACTGATGCAATCAAAATCGGAGGTACTTGCCTATTTAAGAAAATAAAAAACCTTTTTAACATGTGCCTTTTGGACAGTAATATACCCGACAAATGGCACAATGCTGAGGTAATTTTATTGTACAAAAAAGAGATCCCAATGAATTAGAATACTACAGACCTATAAATCTTCTTAGTCGAATACAATCGACCACTCATTCTGGCTTTTGTAGATATCCATAATGCCTTGGACATGGTAGAGTTTGACAAAATCCTGGAAGCACTGCAAGCATGCCGCATTGACTACCGATATACAAAGTTAATTTACAATACATACAAGAAGGCAACTGTCGGTAAAACTACATAAAAACACGGATCATATCCCAATCGACAGAGGAATCCTACAGGGTGATACCTTATCGCCTAAACTGTTTACCGCAGTGCTAGAATATGCTTGTAAAAACCTTAACTGGTAAGAGAAAGGCCTGAACAATAACGGTTGAATATTAACAAATTTCAAATTCGTAGACGACATAGTTTTGTTCTCGAACAACCTCAAGGAGATATCTACAATGCTACATGAAATTCAGTTAGTGTGTGTCAGTGTGGGTCTTAAAATAAACATCTCCAAAACGAAATTCATGACAAACCTAGTACCTAGCGGAAATATCAATATTGAAGACAACGATACTAAGAACAATAAACCTAGCATGGGCAAGACTCCAAGACATCTTTAAAAGCGATATACCAATTCCTTTAAAACGTAAAACTTTTGACCAATGTGTGTTTCCTGTGATGACCTATGGTGCCGAACCTTTCACATTGACAGCTACAATGTCTAAAACATTAAAAATAGCTCAGAGGAAAATGGAAAGGTCAACGCAATGAGTATATTGCTTCGTGATCGAGTTAGAAATGAAGACTAAGACGAAGTTACCGATGTAATTTTCCGAATTGCCAAGACCCACTACTCGTTGGGCTGACGATTTTAAGAAAATACAGATGATACAAATGAGTATTTTTCGGTAACAGTTACGTTACGTTCCGGTTCCATGTTCGTACCTGTTCCAAATACTAGTTACTTTTTAACCTAGTATTTTTTACATTTGTACTCCACGTCTATTCCAGACGCAGGTCGCAGTCTGTAAGGAGGGCAATTGTTAACGGAAAAACGAAATCGCTTGAAAGCCAATAAATTAGAGCAATTATTATTTTTAAGTGTTTTTAATTCAAATTTTTTCTAATTTTTTACATATAAGTTATATTTTTTATTTTGTTATTTTTTTTTAAACGATTTCATTTTTTTTATTTTTGTGTTAGATACACTTATCTAGTTTATTTTAGTAAATAATATGTATATTTTAAGAATTACATTTTTATTTAAATAAATATGTTTTACCATAAACAAAATAGTTATTCTATTATCTATAAACAAAAGGCATCAATAAGTATCGCTTACACTGTTATATGGGTCCTATTATCCCATATCAAATGTAATGTTTAATTGCTTTTTTTTTAATTTTCAATATATTAAAAAGTTATTTGCACACGCAGAAAATTTATATACCGTTTTATTTTAGTTTCGTATACGTTCGTAATACGTTTAATTTCACATCTTGCATACACCACCGTAATAATTCCCGACGTCCGAACCGCCAATCCTAAGTACCTACAAACTAGAAATATTACCTACCCAAAAAATGCAACTGATCCCTGTGCGTATCGGTATCCAAAAGTATTCCTAATACCAATACCAAAATATCGGTAACAAAGCGCAGCGCAGATATCGAGTATCGGCGTTATTGTGTTGTGTACAGAACAGTACCAGTAACAGTTACCAGGCTTGATACATTCTGTGTCGCGTCGTGTCGTTGAACAAACCTAGATGGAACTGGAACTAGTATTTTAGAAAACCGGTAACTGTTACGTTACGTTATATGCTCATACCTATTACCAAATACTTGTTCCTAGTATTTCGTATCATCTCTATAAGAAAATGTCAAGAAATTTGATGAAAAGTGCTCAAGATAGAACACAATGTACAAAAATAAAGGAGGCCTATGTCCAGCAGTTGACGCAAAGGACTGGGTGATGATAATGATAAAACGTTGAAGAAAATCCCACAAAAAGAGCCAGTATATATTATTGGAGACTTTAAATCCAAGGTGGAACATTGAAAATAAATATCCCACTTACCAAAAGTCTGTCTGCAGTATTTTCCATCGCCTCTCCAAATATTTACTCAGAACTAATGTTCTGGCTATATAATATACACAGAAACGCAACGACTACTATAAAACTACAAGACAGGAGTAACGAAATACAAATGGAAAATGGTAAATATACGCCGATGACATAGCGGAAGAACTGATATCCAACTGATCTAGACCGTGATACCGCATGTACTTATAAATAGGGTTAAAAATAAAGTTCACTAAAACAAAAATCATGACGAAATTCAAATCAACGTATTACCCACAAGGATGTTTTGTGTGGTAAAATACTTCCCTTAAGACATATCACAAAAATAATCACAAAAATTGTCAATTCTATTCGAACAACGCCTTTGCAACACCACCTTCTCTAGACCTTTTTAGAAAATTCTGATCCTGATCTTATTCTAAATAGTAAATAATGAAGTATATTGGCTCAGTAATGGCAAAGTTCTTGCAAGATTTGAAAATTATTTTTTTTTTAATATTTCTTTTGGAGAAATATTACAACCTGTTCGTATAGTGGTACAATGAGTAATTTATTTGTAACCTAATTTACTACATAAATATTAGGCTAAAGTCTTACTCAACAATAGTCTTAAGTTCTTAACAGCTAAACGCCTTTTACACTATGATTAAACTGTACTTTCTCCAGCGTTTCCCTAACAATACTCTTCTTTTTTTAGGTCACTTCATATTTCACTGAACCGTTGATTGAATAACCTATTCAATCAATGACTGAACTAATGTTTTGGTCCTTTTGAGTCATCCGTTCTGGTTCGTGTTGTCAAGTAGCTGAAGTACCTGTACATTCACGTGACGATGGAGCTTATTTTCATGGTCTCGAACATATTTGGAGATAGTCTGTCGTACCAACAATCCATAGGTCTTTGTGGATGTTACTGTTTGTAATGTACTAGGGGCATCTACGTTATTCCTCAGTACCTTAGTCTGAAAGTGTTGAATGAGCTGAATGTTATTTTCACTGGCACAGACTCATAGCTGCCATAACTCCAAACAGGCTTAAGATTCTCATTTTTGTGTCTGATTCCAAGCTCTTGTCTTTTCTGTTTGACATGTGCTCTCCATCGAAGCCTTGCATCAAGAGTGATGCCCAGATATTTTGCAGTATTTTCGTACAGAACGTGGATTACTCTGACTGGAATGCGCTGACCTCTTCTATTAGTGAATTCGACACGAATCGATTTAACTTGATTCTCAATTATTGATCTGTCATCAGATCATTTTGCAGATGTTGCATTGTTTTCTTATAGTGATGTCCAACTGATATAATTGCCGTGGCATCAGCGTTGTATGACAACATCTAAATACCCACTACCGTGTAAAATCGAAATTGATGGGAAAATAATAAAGCAGGAAGCAAGGTTTAGATATCTGGGAATAGATATAACTAGTTACGGAGATGGTGAAGAAGTACGACAACAAAGCTTAAAAGCAAGTAAAGCGGCGGGATCTCTTAATGACACAATCTGGAAGAACAAACACCTAAGACAAGATACAAAAACAAGAACCTATAAAGTAGCAATTAGACCTTTATTAACGTATACGGAGGAACCAAGACCTGGCACATCTAAAACGACACGACTACTAGAAACAACAGAGATGAAAATACTCCGACGAATATCAGACAAGTCTATTGGATAGGGAGATAAATGAAAACATAAGAAGAGCATGCAATATAGACATAAATGAATGGGTGACAAAACGAAAACAGGAGTAGAACGAACACATCAGTAGAATGGCAGAGGATAGAATAGTACGAATAGCACGAAATAAGTCACCATGCTATCTAATATTGAAGAAGAAACATGCTTTAAAGCCTACATACAAGAAGGAAGAAGAAGAATCAGAGAATGTAGTAATTGTATCTTTATTTAGTTCAGATATGTCTTTGTTGTATAAAAGGGAGAACTGGCCCAAGAATGCTTCCTTGTAAGACATCAGCTCTTATTTATCTCATATCAGAACATGCTGCCTCCGCCTCCTGCTTGATTCTGAAGCACCTGTCTGATATAGATTATTCTAGTAGTAAGGAATACTGTTCTGTAATGTATTACGATTGATAACCCACCAAAATTGTATTTAGACAAACACAGGTTGCTTAGTAAAAAGGACACTACTATACACGGGCGTTTGCAGAAGCTGTCTAAATTGAAAAACACCCAAATAACTTTGGGTTTGGGTCTAAACAAGATATGCATCCCAGCTCTACGAAATACGAAACCACTCCTAGGACGTTCTAGGAGAATTCTACTTATAAAAATAAATTATAAAGTAAAATGACGAATGAAATGAAAAACATTTATTTATACCAATTTCTGCAGTGTGCTATACATACACTGTCTAAATATTTATTTCATATTTTGAAAAATTAACCTTAAAAATAATAATAAAACCCAAGCAAAAATCATTGTCTTAACTTACCTCTCCTTCCACATATTGATTGCACACAGCACATTTCGATCCAAAATTCTTCTGGTAGTCAGTTGTACAGTAGTATTCGCCGTCCTTGGAGAAGAATCCTCCCTTTGCTAGGGAACTGCCACACACCTTACATTTGAAACAATGCATATGAAAATACTTATCTTGAACTCTAAGAACCTCTCCCGAACATTTCTTTTTACATGACTGGCAATATGTTTTCCCTGAAACAAAAATATAGTACATGTTTATGATTGTTTTATTAACGATTATTAAAAGTTTTACTATTATTGGAATCGTTAAAATGTTAATACGGTAAAATAACACGGAAACTAAAATATAACGACTGAATTAACAAATTGAAGAATCGCAATTCGCCACAAGGATAAACAACAAATGGGCTTTTAAAATGAAGGTGGTTCCCTTTTGCAATAAGTACACATTCTTATAGTAATTCCGGGCGAATGAAGGAGAGCAATCATGTCAATGCTCTTAAAGAAATTAGCTACTCCCTATTAGTTACAGAGACATAAATTAATTTAATACAACGCTCAAAGTAACATGTCTTACAACATCATCGATTTTTTCCATTGGGCGAGTGATCTGAAAATGCCATCTTCTTCTTCTTCTTCAGCCTTCATTTATCCAATGTTGAACATAGGCATCCTCCAATTGCTTCCACGCTTCCCTATCTTTTGCAATTCTCATCCACTGCTTTCCAGCTACAGCAGTTATATCGTCTATCCATCTCTTTTTAGGTCTTTCCACGCTTCTTTTTGTTTCTCGAGGTCTCCAGAAAGTCACTTTATGAGACCATCTGTTGGTGTCTTGTCTTGCTACATGTGCTACCCATTGCCATCTCAATGTCGCTATTTTTCCCATGATGTCGGTTACTTTAGTTCTTCGACGTATTTCGGTGTTAGGAATTTTGTCTCTGAGGCTTATATTTAACATGGCCCTCTCCATGGCCCGTTGAGTTACTCTTAATTGTTCTGCCATAGTTTCCAATCCATAAGTTGCAACTGGTAGTATACAAGTGTCATAGGTTTTTCGTTTTAAGTGAATTGGAATTTTTCTGTCATTTAAAATGAAGCTCAACTTACCAAAAGCGGCCCATGATAATTGTGTCCTTCTTTTAATTTCTAGGGTTTGATTTTCGTTTTCGTTTTTAATTGCATGTCCTAGATATACATATATATATATATATATATATATATATATATATATATATATATATATATATATATATATATATATATATATATATGTATATATTGTTCTACCTTTTCTATATTGATGTTATCTATCGTGATGTTTTCTAGGCTGTTGCTTAATATCTTTGTTTTGTCGAGATTCATTTTTAATCCTATTTGATTCGATTTGTGATTTAAATCTTGTAGCATTGATTTTAGTTCATGGATATCTGTGCTTATTAGTACTATATCGTCTGCAAAACGCAAATGGTTAAGATATACTCCATCTATTTTTAATCCATTTTCGGCCCAATTTAGTTGTTTGAAAACATTTTCTAATGCCAAAGTAAATAACTTGGGTAAGATGGTGTCGCCCTGTCTCACACCTTTGCTAAGGTCTATTTTCATAGTTTCCAGATCATCATCTATTTTTACGTGAAAAGTAGCATCATCGTATATATTCTTAAGGAGGGCAACATATCTTGAATCTACTCTGGCGTCGTCCAATGCTGTTAAGAAAGCCCATTTCTCGATACTGTCAAATGCCTTGTGATAATCGACCAACAAATGCCAGATGTAGTGGTATGTTGTACTCTATTGTTTTTTCAATAATGGTCCGAATTGTTTGCAAGTGATCGATAGTGCTAAAACCCTTATGAAAGCCTGCTTGCTCCACTGGTTGGTATGCATCTAGTTTAGCTGTCAATCTATTTGTTATTATTCGGGTTAGTAGTTTGTAAAGGTGTGACAATAAGCTTATTGGTCGGTAGTTTTCTATATTTGCGGCGTCCCCTTTTTTATGGAGTAGAATGACTTCCGCATTTTTCCATGTCTTCGGTATTTGTCCTTCCAATAGGCATTTATTAAGTAATGCTCTTATTGCCTCTTCTAATGCAGTGCCTCCCATTTTTAGCATCTCTGAAGTAATTTTATCTTCTCCTGGTGTTTTCCCATTTTTCATTTGTTTTAGATTATTTCAGGGAAGTCCTCTGAGCCCACATTTAAGATATGTTTTGTTGGTATACCGGGGTTCGGAATAGTAGAAGTATACAGCTTCTCATAAAATTTTCGGATTTCTCTAACGATCTCTTCCTTATGCGAGCACAATATTCCACGGTCGTCTTTTATCTTTATGATTTTATTCCTGCCAGTGGATTTACATGTTTTTAGTACTTTCATGTTCTTATTGTTTTCTATGGTTTCAAGAATCTGGTTTGTTCTATAAACTCTGAGGTCTTTTCGAATACTTTTCTTAACGCTTCTGTTGAGCGCTTTATAGTCCGGGTTATCTCTGTTCGTTCTTCTTCTTTTCTCTATCTGTTCTAGAGTTTCGGGTTTTAGTTTAGCTTCCTTTTGTTTTCTTATTCTGCAACAAAGTTTCTTAGTGACTGTTTGTATGTCTTTAGTTATTTTCTCAGCTAGTTCATCTATATTCTTGTGCTCAAAGGTATTTGCTACTAGTTTTCGTGCTAATTCCTCTATATGCCATATAGAAACATAAATATACGACAGTTTCATCTTTAGGCCACGGCCAGTCTAGTCTCGGCTCCCAAATAGGGGAGTACCTGTACCCTGGGAGTCCGATGTCGGGGCTCTGCACCGGTTCTCCGAACATTGAGACTGTGTGGCTGGGCCTTGTCCACCTCATATACTGCGTTCTATTTATCTTCCATGTAAGAAAGATTGTGTATCCACCAAAGATGAGAGTATACACAGAGGGTACTTTGAATAGACTGGTCGCAGTCCCTTTGTAAAGCACCATGGGAATGGATAAGTGGCCGTAGTTTTCCAGGCCCTTCCTTCCCATCTGGTGATAACAATAATAGAACAAAAACAAATGAGCAAATTAGTCTACCATGAGAACTGCAGGAATTTCGAATACAGAATTCTTGCACGGGTGGTGTTTTCATAAGGCAAATTCAAGGAAAATCTCTTAAATACAATAAACCGAAATAGGTACGAGTTTTGTTTTTTTAGTTTTGCATATAGCCGCTTAGAGGGCGCCGCTAATAAAACCTGATAAAAATCTAACCTCAATCTTGTATTGACATAAATCGTAATTTTTTCATTGCAACAAGTCGTGCAGATGCAGTAAATTTTTGAAATTAACAAGTCGGTCGAAAAATGGATCTTAGCCGAGAATATTTTCGAGCAATAATTTATTATAATTTTCTGAGAGGATTATCGGAACAGCAAAGTCTCGCTGAAATGGTTTCTGTGCTTGGGAATGAAGCATCACACCAGTCAACTATTTCCCGCTGGTATTGGGAATTTCAACGTGGTCGCTCCAGTCTCGACGACGAATCCACGCCAGGTCCATCCAAAACAGCAGTTACACAGCATTTATAGTATTGTTAGTAGCGATGAATCTTGGATGTAGTCCTACGAACTCGTGTTTCACGATGAGGAAAAACCAACAAAAGTGATCCATTCTCGAAGTGTGTCAAAGAAAATGGTCGCAACTTTTGTGTCAAAATCTGGTCATGTGGCAACACTTGCTCTAGAAGAATGAAGACCGGTTACTTCTGATTGGTATATAATCGTTTGTTTACCAGAAGTTATCGCGAAATTCCGACAAAGCAACACACAACAGCGAATCATCCTACATCAGGACCATGCAAGTGCTCACACTGCCTAAAAGACAATAGTTTTTAAAGCTTCAAAACATCGAATTGTTACACCATCCACCGTATAGCCCCGACTTAAGTCCCAACGACTTTTTCACATTCCCAAAGATCAAGAATTCAAAGATTTTGCAGTGTCGAATGAAGACTGGAATAACTTTTTTTCAGTTGGTTTAAACGTAAGCAAAAGTGTATCGATGGGACATACACTGCTCGTCATTAAAAAGAAGCCAACTACCTTTTTGACCATTTTTTAATTTTTAAGAACCTTACAAGAAATTGATAGTCATTAGAAGCTTGTGTAATGTTCTAAAGCAGTATCCAACCATTTCTTAAATAACAAATGTCAAAAAAACTTCTGCCAAACTAATGAATTTAATGAAAAAGTTTAAAAATTAACATTGTAAATTTTTTCTGTTTTATTACACTCCGCATTGAATTGATCAAATTCTGGATGTTGTCTTAAAGAAAAGCTTCCCATTCTTCCATGATCGCCTATCGAAGATGATCACGATTTATTGGAGCAGGTATTCTGTTTCTTACTCTTCGTTTTAGTAGGTCCCAAACATGCTCAATCGGGTTCAAATCTGGGCTTTGAGCCGGCCAACTCATCTTTGGCACACCGACGGTTTCCAGGTATTGCGTTACCATCCTGGCTATGTGTAGCGGCGCGTTGTCTTGCTTGAAAATAAAAGTTTCGCCCGCAAACCCAGCAAAATGCATTGCAAACTCCTCAAACCAATACGTCAACCAGTTATTCCAGACTTTAGTTGACACCTCCAAAATCACTGTTATAAAGACATCGATGACTTCTCTGGCGACTGGAATCGGTGCCCACGCATTGAATTCTTGATCTTTGAGAACGTCGTTGGGACTTAAATGGGGGCTGTACGTCGGGGCGCAGTTATCCTTAATTATCTAACCAACCGCATCAACGTTTTGCTGTGTAACTTGTGTTTTTGGTGGACCTGGCCTGTATTCGTCGCTGAGACTGGAGCGACCACGTTGAAATTCGCAATACCAGCGGGAAATAGTTGACTGGTTGCTAATTTCAAAAATTCACTGATCTATACGACTTGTTGTATCGCAATGATACGAAGATTGAGGTTACATTTGTGTCAGAAGGTTTTATTGGTATTCTATTCTCGTATTCTAACGGAAAACAAATTTTTAATAGATAATTTTGAGAAACATTTCATTGCCTACTTTTTTATGAGTAACCTGGAGTATAAAAAGTACAATTATTATTGTACATTTTGGTTTTACCTATTTAATATAATAAATATACTTTAAAATTGTGTGATACATGGTGTGTTTTGTTAAATGTTATGTTAATTTTTTCTGCATAACATTGACAAAAATCAATTTTTTGCATATTGTTGACAAAAGTCGTTTTAGGCATATACA